GACTTCGTGAAGCTAAATTAGTTCCTAATTGGGACAAATGTTTCTTCGTCCGCACTCAACTGACCTTCCTTGGCCATCTAGTGGATAAAGACGAACTATACCCAAATCCTGATAAGGTGGACGCCATTTTGAAATTACCTCCACCTTCTAACCTAAAAGAGTTAAGAAAATTTTTAGGTATGGTATCTTGGTACCGTCGGTTTATAAAGGATATCTCGGTTTTGATATCTCCGTTAATCAAGTTATTAAAAAAGGACACACCATGGCTGTGGGAAGAAGATCAACAATTAGCTTTCGACAATCTAAAGAAGAAGCAAACTGAAGCTCCTGTTTTGGCCTGTCCTGACTGGACGCATCCTTTCTATCTACAAACAGATGCTAGTTCCGAAGGCCTTGGAGTAGTATTAACACAAAGAATTGGTTCAACTCAAGTCGTCATCGCATATGCTAGCCGCATATTAAATCCAGCAGAAAAGAACTACTCAGCCACGGAAATTGAATGCCTTGCAGTAAAATGGGGCATATGGAAAATGCGACACTACCTAGAAGGTTATCATTTTATAGTTGTCACGGATCATCAAGCTCTAAAATGGCTGAATAGTATTGTAACTCCCTCAGGAAGATTAGTGCGTTGGATAATGGAGCTGGCCCAATAGGACTTTGAAGTCCAGTATAAAAAAGGAGTCGCAAATAAAATGCACGCTACCCTAGTAGGAAATCCATGGGAAATGCTCTCGATTTTGGAATTACGCATCGTCTCACCCCACCTTACACACCGCAGTGTAATCCAGTAGAACGAGTCAATAAGGTGAACAAGACGATGATCAGGCAATATATCAATAGCAAGAAACCGGACTGGGATAGACATCTAGCGGAATTACAATTTGCCTACAACACCGCGAAGCACACGTCAACCGGCTACATTAAGAATAGAAAAATTGCAGGATGCAATTGAATTAGTTAGAATTAATTTAGCTAAAAATTTTAATATTCAACAAAAACAATATAATCTGCGTAAACGTGTATGGAATCCGGTTTTAGGGAAAAAAGTGCTCAAAAGAAACTTTCATTTATCTAAAAAATCAGAAAAGAAAAATGCAAAATTATTGGAAAAATTTAGTGGTCCTTTTATTATAAAAAAGAAAATTTCTCCAGTAATTTACGATTTAATTAGCGATAAAGGGAAAATATTTCGACACGTGCATTTAAAGGATTTAAAAGGTTTCATCGATGACAATTCAACCAATAACATTGATTCCCCCCAATAATGGTGTCAAAGACCTCCGATATAAATACAGATAAAATTCCGAGAATCACCCTTAGTACCTCAAAGTCATTAGTAATGGAAAACGCTAAACAACAGGCTTGCCTTGAACGCGCCAAAATAAGAAGGGACGCGCTCGACATGGCGAATTTAAATTTAGAAATTCCGGAGTTCGATATTAATTACCAAAACTTTTTTCGTTCCAACAATAATAATTTGCCGGATAGTTCCGTGAAATATAGTGCAGTGGCCCCCATGCAACCGATTTCGGGCAGAAACTATGAGAAAACTAAAGTGTTTGCTCCTGCCCCAAAACCCCCCTCGTGCCAACTTCCCGCTAAAAGAATTGCCACCTAAGAAAGACGATTTTGAGTCAACGCTAATAGAGATTTGTATGAAGGAGGAAGAGAGGATAAAAGAAGAAAAAGTGAAAAATCTCAAAAAGAAAATTATTAAGTCTAAAATGCCTATTGTTAGAGTGAATCGAATTAAAACCCCAGTTAAAAAGCAGTATTAAAACTGTCAGCAATGACAGAAATGGCTAAAGCAAAAATAGTTAAACAAATGAAAACCCCAAAAGCAAAGAAACTGCCACCCCCTAAAGAAGACAAAAAACTCACCAAACCATCAATCTCGAAAACTGAAATTATTAATACTCCTGTTAAAATAATCCAAAAATGTTCCAGTATAGTTAATCTTGATACTAATAATAATGTGGTAGTGCCTGAAAAGTTAGTCAATAGTAAAGAAAACCCTCTAACGCTGTGTAGCTTTCTCGCCCATTTGCCCTTCACCGTCGCAAAACTTCCTAGTGGACCTTGGTGTCGCATACCTATTGGCGTCACCAGATATCGTATTCCCTTCAAAGGCGGGAAATGGACTCTCCGCTTGGATCTTTCAAACGGACATATTCGTCATGCGAGGAAAACTATGTATGTGGTACTACTAGCTAGGAAGAAAATTTTATATATTTTTTTTTATTTATTTAAAAAAAAGAGTGATAGAAAGAAATATTTTTCTCTTATTAATTTTTTTTATTCTCCCCTAGACGCTCATTAAAATTCGCTTTCTAAGTAGGGGGGATGTAAAAAAAAGTATTTCTTTCTAAATCATAAAAACTGTTCGCGTAAAATCAAATTCAAATTTACATAGTATATCATATAGATATACTCTAGTCAGCTCTCTCGCAGCCAGCTGAGTAGAGAGTAACGAACGCGCACGCTTGCCGCGCCGTCGACGCTCTCCCCTTAAGCGCGTTCCACACTTAAACTTTTCGGGCGTCCGACACGACACACGTGCCCCCTCTTCTCCATCTACCAAATCCATCAATCTACCAAAGTGTGGAACGCGCTTTAAGTGTGGAACGCGCTTTACCGCGCGCGCCACATCTTTCTCTCCTCGCCGTTCAATATACCTGACTGCACGTCTCCAAATCTTCAGTTCGCCGACAACCGGCCTCGAGGTGCTTCTCGGGCCAAGCGACGGCGAACTCACCTCTCTCTCTGCCTCGATCTATTTTCCTGCCTTCTCTTTCCTTTCTTTCACCTGGTGAACCGGAGGCCTGTAGGTGCTTCTGCGACCCCTAGTTCACCAGCTCTTCCTAGAAGGTGTTGTATCTGTTCTGTAGGTGCTTCTGCGAACAAGGTAACACCCTTCGCCCGCTTTCCACATCCTGACCCCGAATACTCTTGGTCGCTCTGTAGATGCTTCTGCGAGAGACCAGGGTATTCCCTTCTTTCCCCTGGTAAACCGGATTTCCTATGGGTGCTTCCGTGGAAATCTGGTGCACCAGGTCTTCACACGCATACACACCACACCAGACCGTCCTGGCCAAGTAGAGGTGCTTCTCTCTTGGTCAAGACGATGCTCCACGACGATTCCCCATCTCGAGGTGCTTCTCGGGTGGAGGAGACTCGTGGAGAAAATTATCTTGCACTAGTTTCGTGTCGGGCAAGAATATGGGAAACGAATCCCATATCTAGCTTCTCTCCGATTTATTTGAAAATCGACCTAGCGTGCACGACCCTAGTCATCGTCCGCGACGTAACTAGAGGGTAATATTCTAGAAGTTACCCGCGCATTTTAATATCGGTCATCCTGACCATCGTCTTCGTGGCGCGTGTTCGCTATTGTAACCGTTCCGAATTTGTTTCTTTTCAGAACCGCTCCGAGCAAGGCGGAGAATGTTTCGAGCGAGCGGAAGGACTAGCTTGGCTAGTCATTCTCTAGATAGCTTCTCATAATTATATTTATTTTGCATTATATAGAGACATTTTGATTATTCTTTTTACTAGTTTTATATAGCTGCAAAGATATTATATTTATTTGTTAATTATTCTTTTTTATTTGATTTTTATTTTGTTTAAAATATATTTTCTTACGAAGGTTTAAATCTATGTTTCATTATTGACTTAACCTTTCCTTGCGAAATCACGAGAGCTCCTATTCCAATTAAATTAACAATTAGCAATATAGATGACGCCTTACGCCATCTATAGTTAAAATCTCAAACTAAGCCTAACTTATGTACCCGGACTCCATCCGGCGAGCAGATCCTTTGGCAAGTTAAAAATACAGATCATTACAAACTTAACTTCACTTAATTTGAATACAAATGACATGAGCTGGTATCTTCCAATAGAATACCTTCGTTAGAAATACATGCAATAATTCTCACGTTGGAGTCCGAATCAAGCATTCGGAGTATACGGTACGGTTCTGGTGTAAAAATAAAATTTGCACCAAGACAGGATAATGCGTTAAGAGTAATTACTTTCAAAGAAATTCTGGTTAACTAGTGACAAAGTTGAACTGATGAAACAATACAATTTGATGTAACCGGATAAATGTAAAAGGAAAATAGAAAATTTATTCTTTAATTTAAACTCAGTAGTGAACTGTTTCAAATTTACCTTAACTAACTAATTACCTATAAGTACAATTCGAAAGTGCCGGCTGACATGTGACTAACAATAAGTGAAATTGTTGAAAAGGACCAATTCAATGCAATTGGCGAAGAGGGAAAGAAAAATTGGAAATTTCAATTTCTCAAACGAATTCAGTTTCGAAGCCATCCTAACTTTAATCTAAGTGAGTAAAACACACTATTGAAATCAACCTCAAGGGCATAACTACAAAGCGAAAAAAGGGAAACAGTCATCAAAACAAATCAAAACAAACACGATACTGCTTGCTTGAGAATGGCTTTTGCACAATAATCCTCTATTTTAAACTTTTTAATATTCCGATAAATACTCCTTGTTTCCTTTTGGTTTTTGGCGCTGTTTTTTTAAACTTATGAGCATGCTTATAGAGAAAAATTTATATATATTTTTTTTTTCTTTTTCTATTTAATTGTGTAGAAGGGGAATCGAGAAATGATAAATGAAATAATAATTGCCAATTCGGACTGCTATATTGAATCAAAATAGAGGTTAATTAGAATAAATAAGGGAAGACTAGATTAGAAACTAAAATTAATAGTATTAGAATTATATTAATGAAACATAATGGGCTTAATTAAGATTGAATAATTTCTCAAAGGGACATGAGACTGAGTGATGAGTGAGAATTGGTTGATCAGGTTGGCCGAGGGAATCCTGAAATTGAAAATAATATTTAGAGTGTAATAATAAGTAATATCCTGTTGTTTTCTTTTTTTGTTTATCTATCCTTAAATTGAATTTCAGACTTAAACTATAACGATACAAATTTGGCACAAGGTTTAAAAATAATCATGAGTGATAAAATAAAGGACAATAATAGTCGCGATTCCTCTAGGGAAAGTAGTACTAGTTCTCGGTCGGCTGTTCTAGGCAGATCAAGGTCCAGGTCTCGAGCTGCTAGAGGGACTCCTCCAGATAAATCTCCTCAACCAGGTAAGATAAAAAACGGTGATGGAGATTCCTCAGTGGAACGTTTAAAAAAGTAACGGCAAAACTGCAAAGCAGAATTAGGCTCAGTAGATTACATCCCTACATATGATCGTTCTCTTGATTCACCGTACTTAGTCATATTGGAATCCACAATCCCAAACATGAATCTAGGCAGAAAGGATCCAATCGCTATCGGAAAATTTTTCGCCGAGTTTATCGGTGGAGAAAGGGAGATTTATATAAGCTGCCGAAATCAAATTAAAATATTTTGCGAAGAAATTGAAGACGAGAATTACTTGTTGATTTCGGAAATTTTAGGGAAAGAGGGATATGGGACTTATATTCCGGATGGGCTCAATCATAAAAAGGGGTTCATAAGGGCTGATGCAGAGCATTCTGTTACGGAACTGGTACAGCAAATGGACACATCAACCAAGGAAAACTTGATCCACGCAAAGAGAAGAGTGCAGAGGAACGATAAACATCCAATGAATATAATTGATCTGAAATTCAAAGCCAAAAGAATACCGAGAAAACTCTTCATCTACGGCGTGGCCCATTTCATTACACCCACGATACCTATCCGGAAAAGATGTTTCAGGTGTCAGGTGTTTGGGCATGTGACCACTCAGTGCCGGGCGACTCGCCCCAGCTGCGAGTTTTGTGGGGAAAGGCATGGCAGCGAGGAGTGTGATGACCCAAGAAGGGGAAATTTCTGTATAAATTGCTCAGGGAACGTCATATCCTCATCAAGTATATGCCCTGTTTTTAGATTTAAATTCGAGGTAATGAAGGAGAGGTATTTAAAAAACGTATTGAAAGATGAGGCTATCGAGATTCTGTCCCGTCAGGGTATTATATGCCAAGTAGCGAGTCCCAAACCTGTAGGGGATAGGATAGAAAATTCTATGCAACAGGACGGATCAGAAAACAAACATCCTATGTCCCCAAAGAGAACACCACAACACCCCGGTGGGGTTGATGATAATAATCAAATAGAGGAAACTACAATTCTTGAAGATATAAGCACAGCATATACTGACTCTCAGGAGGAAATGAACCTAAAAAATTTAGCGTTATTGCTGGCTGATAGGGAATCAACACCCCATGAGGGGGTGGGTTCTTTTCCGGAAGTAGGCACGGGTGAGCAGCACATGATCACTGATGGGAAGAAGGGTGGGGGTTCATGCATACACCCACCGGAGCAGGCTCACACAGTAGATGAAACACTCTAAGTTGGTCTGGGAAGAAAATAGGGAGGCGGGGACGACTCTCTCCTCATCCCACTCCCCGTCCTCTGTACTTTTACTTTCACTTTTGTTAACTCTCAGCTTGTGATTTCGGGATTTTTCTTTTCTTTTTGATATGTGATTGCTATCTTATTTTGATATTTCTTTGATTTTGATTATGAATTGAAAATTTCTTTTTTTTTCTTTTTTCTTTATGAATTAAAAGTTTCTTTTTTTTCTTTTTTTTTCTTCTCTTTTTAATAAAAGAGAAAAAAAATTTTTTTAATATCATTTTTATTTTTAAGTCAGTCTAACATGCCCCGAGATAAAATATAGATTAAAATTAATAATAATGCACACACAAAGTGAAATATTTCATTGTGCCACTTGGAACGCCCGTAGCTTGATTAATAAAAAACTACAAATCGAGATAATGTTTAACCAAATGAACTTCGACCTATTATCAATAACTGAAACGTAGTTCAGCGAAAAGATTGTCAATTGGAATGCTAAGGGCTACAATTTAACCCGAAATGACCGCAAAAGGGAGTCGACAGGAGGGGGCACGCTCTTGTTAATTCGGAACACATTCACCTATGAGAATCTAAAACTCACTGGATCTTGTCAGGAAAAATTTGAGGCTGTGGGAGTAAAGGTATAAATAATCTACCCTGGGCCTAATATATATAATCTCAGTCTATATTTCCCCCACTGCAAAAATAACAGTAAATGACTTGATCGAATTAACAAAATACCCGGAGAAGGACAAACGGTTTTAATGGGAGACTTTAACGCACATTTTACTAACTTTGAGCCCTATCGGGTAAATAAAAGGGGGAGGGTTTTACTTCAGTTCCAGGAGATCAGGGACTTAGTAAGGATTCGCGTCGTGACTATTGTACGACGTAGACGTGTTTTGTTATATATTTGTTTGCGGGACTGTTTTTCCCGCTTTTAAATTTTATTAAAATAATAAAAGTTCTTACGTTTTTAAAATTCAGTGAAGATTATCTTAAAGACAATAATTAATGGCAATATTTGATAATATATGTTGAACAAGTTGTGGCAATATTACACATGAAGTTAAAATTTGGATTGTTTTACTAACGCATAATATCAGCAAGTGAAGATTTGTAATATATGGATGGGATTGATTTTGGCTTGCATTGGATTACATATAGCTCAATAAATAATTAAATAAATTATGGATCCTTTCTGGCAGTTATTTTAAAATGTTTCAAACTATAACTAGAGTTGTTATCGATCTGCACTACATAATAAGGTATCACAGTAAACAAATGTTATTTCTCGCATCTTCAATAAAAACAACTTATTTAATTTTCGTCTACAAAATATATATTTACAGCTTGCTTTCCTTATAATTTTCTTTTCTCACAACTATTCAAATATAACCATTCAATTACCTTATACACAAATTGACCTTGTACTAACCTGTCAAACTTTTATACATATAGAACAAAATAATATCAAATTTAAATTTTAAATACAATTAAAATAGGAGCTAGAAATAATATTGCTCAAATAAATTGAAATATTTTGAATTAAAAACATTTATCTGTTTAATATATTGCCCCACACTATGTATTACTGATATTATTATTTTTGTCTAAAATTTTCTTTCCTTTTTTTACTTCTCTTTGATAATAAAAGAAAAAAAAAGAAAAAAAGAAGAAAGAAGAAGAAGGAGGAGGGGAAAAGGAAGAAAAAGAGAAAAAACAAGTTTTTTTAAGAAATAAATTTTTTTTTTTGAAGTTTCTCAGATGGCTTGCTAAAATATTTCGGGTAGGCTAGTTTTAATGTTATATATTACTAATAAATAAATTTTGATGTTTAGACTATCTAAATAGTTACACAATTCTTAAAGTTTCTTAACTATTATTCAAATTAAAATTTATAATGGATGTTACGACTAATGAGTCCTCTTTGACCACTCGCACAGGCATATATGAATCATTTAGTGACAATTCAAATGATGATTTTCCAATGGATGATGATGTTGAACGCACTGATCAACCAAAAAGGGCACATTCCTAGACGGATCTTTCTCTGAGGTCAGAGGTAGGGCAGCCACAAGTATCTTTATCCCAGAAATTAATTACAGGCAGGGGACTAGGTTGATTGGTTGTAGGTCGGCTATTCAAGCCGAGCTAACCGCCATATACGGGGCGCATAAATACTCCTTGTCGCTAAAAAATAGAGGGATAGTTATTTGCACAGACTCTCTAAGATCGTTGAGCGAAATTAAGAGAAGGATGGCTAGTTCTACTTCGTGGATAATAATCCATTTCATAGTGGATCGTATCCAGGAGCTGAGCAGAGCTCGATCAGTCATTATGTGAACGAATGCGAATTGTTTTTGGAGGGCCGAGAGCAATTTAAGGATTTTTTTGAAAAGAAGTTCAAATCTAGAGACATATTTGAAGTGCAATGGAACCAGCTGATTTATCATCCCAATTTAGAAATTGTGCAAGAAATCGGGAACTTTCTCAATCGGGAGGGAATAATTATTTAATTCAACGGTCACATAATAGCTTGAAACAGGAATTTTATTTATCAATGAAAATATTAAATTCCACACCACACGCGGTCGGGTTCAAAACTGTGTGGGTTCAATTGTTTGGCTTTTAAAATTTGTTAGGCGCCAGTCGACAGAAGGTCGACAAATTCATTTAATAAAGATAATGTTTAATTATTATTTTAATTTTTACTATTAATTTAATTTAATTAAATCCCAGAGGGGGTGATGTTTGGTGAACCCAGAAACAAAGAGCATTTATTTAATTATAATTTTATTTTGAGAAATCTACTTACAGTTTTCGTCGACATTGTTTAATTATTTGTTTATATTAATTTCCTTTGTGATCTTTTATTTCGAATTCTTATTTCAATACTCTGGCGTTTATAATATTAAATTTCTCTCTGCACACTTTGTGGCCACAATTGAAAATTCAACACATACGTCGACATATACGACAGATCATACGACCTAAGAATTAGGCCCTGTCGCCTGCCCGCTTCTCATCAAATTTCTTTGATGAGACGCATGCGCCTAAGGGTTCATTCCAGGGGCGTATTATTTTTAACTACCCCTGAAAATAATATAATTAAAATTTCATGGAGAGTTACGTCAATTTAAAATCCTGTTACAAGCTATGATAAACATAGTACTTAAGTTTCAAAAGAACTAAATGAACAAATAAACAAAAAATCTTAATTTTTGTTTTTTTCTTCTTATTTTTGTTTTTTTGTTTTCTTTTCTGTTTTTTTCCATTTTTGTTGTTATAAGAAGTAAGGAGACTGCTGAGCGTAAGCAGAGTTAGATATTAAGCATTTTCTTTTTCGTTTTTTTTATGAGACTTCCTTTTTTTGTTATAAGAAAGCAAGGAGACTGCTGAGCGTAAGCAGAGCTACCAAACGTGCAAAACAATTAAAATGTGCAAACATTGAACAAATACTGTAATTCAGATATCTGAAGAGAAGATTTAACGAAGACTAAAATTTATGATTATATATTCTAGAGAGACTCGGAGTTCATGTTAATAATTGTTCTAGGTTTAAGGGAAAAAAAGAAAAAATATTATATAAACGCATAATCTAATTGTCTAAACAATAAATATATGTTGATTAGCAAAAATTCAGATTATGCACAAATAAAGTAGAAGCAGAACAGGGCCTTTCAAAGAGTAACACGTCCCTGAACTACCCAACCTTCCAATTCCATTTTCCCAAGAGGTATCACCATAGAGATAATATAAATAGAGTGGAGATGGTCTGTATAGAGGCGTCCGTTTGATAGAAAGAGAACGCGATTTTAGCACCAGTAGGTGTCTCTCTTGCGCTGGTGCTTATTGAAGGACAGATACTGGTGTTAAATCTTTCTTCTCTTTCCAACCCATTCTGTTTATGTCAGGACACTTCCCTCTTACGCAGCCGCCTATACCTTGTCTACTCTATTTATATTATCTCTATGGGTATCACAGCCAACCAGCAACATTCTTTACTAGTCAACTAAAAGCAAGAAGAGCTGTAATACACCGCGAAACTTCCAAACGGAAAGTAAAGCGAAGTTCAAAATGTACAATGTTTGTCCAAAAATTTCAGCTTTATAATATTTGAATTTTGTTCGTTTCAAATTATCAACCGTAGGTTTCTTTCATCATTTAGATCCTTGAAAGGATCCACTTGCTTGAGTTAGGTAGGTTTATTTTATTAAATAAATAAGACACTGATTTTTAATTAGAAAATCAAAAATTTATTCAATTGAATTGAATTGAGTCTTGTTTAAATAAGCTTTATTTAAACTTAGTTTAAATATTCTTAATTTATAATCCTTTTTGACAAATATTAATTATAGATTAAGTTTTAATTTGAACTTTACGAGTTTATTCTTTTGCGAAATTCACGTTAATTTGCTCGCCAAAATCTGCTGTCCTTCCTTATAAAATTATGTTTTTATAGTCAATTTTCCACTCTTAATTTTAGTTCCTTTTCCCTTTCCATAAGAAATTTTTCCAATCATATTCCTATTTTCAAGTTGTTCAATCCCGCCCTCGCTAATTGATTGGTCTATTTTTTTAGAAGACCGTTGCAACCGTTCGTAACTATCACAATTTTTTATGTGGAACACCTGCACAAAATACGCATTTAAAATTGCGTATTTTGCTAAATTTATGATCTAAAATTAGTTTTACTTCATTTTTGCTTCCTCGTGGAGGAAGCTATGTAGTCCTTTCGTTTATAAACTTTTTAAAAATGGTGAAAACAAATTTTCCTCTATATAGAAACATGTTATATGAGATCATGATCAATTGTCCGGATGTATGTGTGTGTGTATGTGTGTGTGGATCGTTTTTGTGAACACGATATCTTTAACAGGTTTTAATGGATTTGGATAAAATTTGGTAGGCTTATTTAACACATTAATCTCTCAAAAATGACGAGAGGATTTTTAAAAATACCCCAAAAAAAAAATTTTATCGTCTTTTTTCCAAAAAATTTTTTTTAATTGAAAAAATTTTTAAATCGAAAAATTTAAGGTAATATATAATATAATCGTCTTCTTTATGTCAAGATGAATCGATTGATATATATAAAGTATAGATTTGATTGAATTTTAAAGAATTACCCACACAGCACAACATCTTACACCAGGCCTACAGCAGGCTTACATGTAAGGTTTGTAAGGTAACATCGTAAGCCCATAGTAGACTTACAGTAAACCTAAAATGTCCGCCTTACAGTAAGCTTACATGGTAGGGTCGAGGTAAGCTTACATGGTAGGGTCGAGGTAAGCTTACACGGTAAGGTCGAGGTAAGCTTACACGGTAAGGTCGAGGTAAGCTTACATGGTAGGGTCGAGGTAAGCTTACACGGTAAGGTCGAGGTAAGCTTATGAGTAAAGGCTGTGGTAAGGTTATTATTAAGTTGTAAGGTTGAGGTAAGGTTGTGGTAAGCTTACAAGGTAAGGCAAGTTATATTCAAATAATAATATTAATAATAAATAAATATTCAATAAAAAAATTTTTCTTTTGCCTTATTCTATTTTGGGAACCTATCATTTCGCAGAAAGTTTTGAAAACAAATTTGGGAGGAGTAGGATTCGAACCCGGGACCGAAGTATATACCTAACAACCTAACCAACTGAGCTAAACGGGGAACTGACAATGAGAAAAGTAATCTTGCTTTTAAGGAGTTGATTATCTTCTTGGTTCCACTTTAAAAGTAAGATTACTTTTCTCATTGTCAGTTCCCCGTTTAGCTCAGTTGGTTAGGTTGTTAGGTATATACTTCGGTCCCGGGTTCGAATCCTACTCCTCCCAAATTTGTTTTCAAAACTTTCTGCGAAATGATAGGTTCCCAAAATAGAATAAGGCAAAAGAAAAATTTTTTTATTGAATATTTATTTATTATTAATATTATTATTTGAATATAACTTGCCTTACCTTGTAAGCTTACCACAACCTTACCTCAACCTTACAACTTAATAATAACCTTACCACAGCCTTTACTCATAAGCTTACCTCGACCTTACCGTGTAAGCTTACCTCGACCCTACCATGTAAGCTTACCTCGACCTTACCGTGTAAGCTTACCTCGACCTTACCGTGTAAGCTTACCTCGACCCTACCATGTAAGCTTACCTCGACCCTACCATGTAAGCTTACTGTAAGGCGGACATTTTAGGTTTACTGTAAGTCTACTATGGGCTTACGATGTTACCTTACAAACCTTACATGTAAGCCTGCTGTAGGCCTGGTGTAAGATGTTGTGCTGTGTGGGTAAAGAAAGTTAAAAAATCAAAAATTCTCATTTTAGCTAAAAAATGATGTGTTTATTTAAATTCATGTTTATATATGAAATAATTTTATTCCCTGCATTGAAACGAATTGGTTGGTATATATAAAGTATAGATTTGATTTAAAATTTGAGAATTAATAAAAATTGAAAAATCGAAAATTCATATTTTAGCTAAAAAATGTTGTGTTTTTTTTAAATTCAAGTTGATGAATAAAATAATTGTATTCCTTGCATTAAAACGAATCGATTCGTATATATAAAGTTTATGTTACACTCAAAATTAATTAAAATTTTCTTTATTTTTCAAAAAATTTAATTAATTTAAAACATTTTTAATTCGAAAGTTTTTAAATCAATCAATTGAATTGGACAAATTCATTGCTTCCTTCACGAGGAAGCGAATTTTTTGCTTCACACAATGAGGAAGCATAATGTATATGAAATAAACATAAAGGACCCCCTACTTGTTTACTTAGATAACCGTCATTTAACGACTTAACTTACGCATCAATTTTAACTTGTTTACTCTCTTTTCCCTTTTATGTATTGATTTCTTTAATTTAGTATTTTATTTTATTTTCTCAAAATTTTCCAGGTTTACAAATTAAAATTGTTGCGTTTATTCGAATACATATATATATATTTATGTATATTTTAATTATTTATATTAATTTTTCTTAATTTTCAAAGAACCTAAATTTAAGTTTAAATTTACCGCTTTTATTTTTAATTAATTAACTTTCAATCAAGACTCAATTCTCTGCAGCAATAATTATTAGTACTCGTATTCACCTAGAACAATTTTCTAGCAAAAGGGGAAACTGCAGAAAAACCCTTTCTTTTCTATATTACGTAATTATTAACTTTAGTTAATTGTATATTTGTTTTGATTCAAAAATAAAATCTTCATATCAAAACAATCAAATAATTGTTTCTCTAATTTTATTTTTCAATCAATTTGCATTTATTCTTCCATTCTTTTTATTATTCTAATAGTCGATTAATTCTCTATCAACTTCTTGCAATAAATTAAATTTAAATTTCTTATTTAAAGCGCAAACTCATTATTTATTACAGCACTGAGTAACAGTGATCGGGGCGACTTAGTCAAAAACCTCGGGCCTGAACGGCAATGATCCGTCACTGTTACAAAACGAGAACTCAATCACCGACCACAGAAAAAGTCCACAGAAAACTGATCCAATCAAATACAGACATTAATTACTACAGAATACTAGAATTGGCCTGACTAGTCGAAGCCACAAAAAAAGAAGAAGAAGAAGTAGTTAAGACACTGCTTGGAATTTGGAATTGTCAGAAACAAAATAATACACGGACAATAAGTAATATATACGAATATTACAGTATCTAGGATTGGCCTGATTCGTCGAAGCCACAAAAAAGAAGAAGATTCTCACGTTGGTAATCTATCCCTTCTTCTTGCTCGAAACACTTGCTTATCACCGATTTTCTACATTAACTACAATTAATTTAAGCTAAAATAAAATATAATAATACATAAATATAATATAAAAAATAAATAATTTATTCAACCTAATTATTTTATGTGTTAATTTTTAATTATACAATTTATAATTGAATATATTTTTATCGTATTAAAAGACCATAATTTTTTACAACCTTTTTAAAATAAAGTAGTTAGTCAATATAGGGTCAACTGGGGTAAATCCGAACGCTTTTAGTAAGTTTCAACAATAACATAAGTTTTTTCTTTAAAAAAAAAATACTTCCGGTATTCTGGTGCATGAAGTTGTTACTTTACTTCCATAGAACAATTTTATGGGGTAGAAAAAATTTTTGATAAATTACAATCGCAGGAAACTTAGCGTTCGTATTTACCTCGATACTTTGCAACTTTCCTAAAATATGGGGGTAAATACGAACGCCACTGTATTTCAGAAAAATCTTAGGGAAAATAAATTTAAAGTATTGCAATTGTTAAACTTATATAAAAACTCAAAAAAAATACGATAATAAACCTATTATGTAATAATGCATCATATATAAATACAAAAATCAAACAGGTTAAAAATTAAAATGCATTACACAATTAAAACCTTCAATAACTTTATCAAATCATAACGGATTTTTGCAAAACTTGGTACAGAAAGTATTTTGGAGTGATTGAATGTAAATACAAAAATAAAAGTCAAATTTTTTAAATTCAAAATGGCGGACTTTCCTAAAACTTATTTTTAAAAATCATCAAATTTGCTAACCCTGAAACCCCCCGAGTAACAATTTTCGAGCGAATCCAATGAATTTTTTAATTCTCGTCCGCCATTTTGAATTTTGAAAAACTGACTTGAAATTGGTAATTAGCGACCCCAAAAACCGTAGAATACCAAATTTTATTAAGATCCTGAAAAACTTTTTTCAACAAACCATTTGGCAAAAAAATTGAAACACTCCTTCGAGAGAACAGAGATTAAGTTTCTGCTTATTAATTACTAACGAGGATACGTATAGAAAGAAAAACTTTTTTCTATGTACTTTTATAATGTTAAAATAATAGTGTAATCAAATAAAAACAATTTTGTGTGGCTTTGATGTAAAAAAAAATTATTAAAAATACCGTTCGGATTTACCCCAGTTTTCCAATTTTCTTGGGTAAATACGAACGGTCTGATATTATTAATAAAATTTTACAGAAGGCAAAAATCAAATATAGTTTCTGTTCTAGTATTCATAACAAACAATTATAAATAATAAAATGAATTTTTAGCTTCTTTTTCTTCAAATACGAGACAAAATACTGAAAGAGTGTCATCTTTGATTTTCAATCTTTTTTGCAATACTTGTTATCTTTGTTTATGCTGTTGCTAATTAACAAACAAAAAATGGGATAATACTTAGAATCTCTTCAAGAGGATCTGAGGTAAAAATTCTCATATCGAACTTATTTTTAAAAATTTTAATTAAGCTGAAATAATTAGCGTTCGGATTTACCCCCCGTTCGGATTTACCCCGACTGACCCTAATAATTATTTTACAGAAATTCAAATTTTTTGTTAATTAATTAGACAAATATACAACAGCTGTTTATACCTAACGGGCGAAAAATTTTATTTTTATTATTTCGCCCGTTTTTGTTTTAACATCTCACGGACGAAATAATATATTTGCCCGTCTTCCAGACACTCGATTTTATTTTCAACGGGCGAAATAATCTAGTTTTCTTATTGCCCGTCTTCTAAAATATATTCATTTCGACGGGCGAAATAGCCACTACACACAATCGTATCTATTTCGCCCGTCGCGGGCGAAATAATAGAAATGAATTAGCTCGCCTGAGCGGGCGAAATAGAAATAGCCTAACTTTAATCTTTATATTATTTATTGATTTATGCCAGAGGAACTTAAAATTGTTTAAAGAAATACAAGTAATGCTATATTTTGTATTATGCTGTTTTTATTTTATTTTTTACATTTTCTGAAATTTAACTAAAGTTGTATAAATACATCAGTACACCGTCATCCGCAGGTCATGTTTCAGTTAAATGTCGCCGCTGTTCAAGTTTGACTTGGCGCAGACCTCTTGGTTTATTTATTAAATTTTAATAAAAGTTAGTTTTTTTTACTTGAAATTCGATTAGCCAAACAAAGATAGAAATATATCTCTATCCTTTTTCAACCAGGATGTTATGTAGTTTGCTTCGCAGATTATATGTAATTTATCTAAATTAAATAAGTAAAAAAAGAAATTTATGTATTTAACAAAATACTGCACTTTTGAGTTAAAATACCTCTTTAAAAAAGTATTAAATTGATTAAACTACCGCTAACATTTAAATTCTTAAAATTACTTTTTGGCATATTAAGGATGATTTATGTGTCGCAAATATTCGGGAGCGTGATAGTGTTGCGCATGAGCAAGCGATGGATGAATTGGTGGAGGAAAACAGCGAACGTGTTCGACGCTCGTGGCGTCGCTATCTCCACTTTTCAGGTACTTATTTAATACAGCAAATATCTGCGAATTCAAAACTTGGAATCTTCTGATTCGATCCACCATTCTTTTCAGGTGCTGTTAGAAAAATAATTAATTAAAAAATTATTCACTTAAAATTTAAAAAGTGTCGATCTATTTTTAATTGACTTCACTTACAATTCCTTTGACGTTTTCGTCTTTACCGTCAACTCTTTGAACTCGAAGAATGTGATAGCAAAAATCGAGAGCCTCGAATCTTCTTTGTTGGCCAAGAAGAACAATCATTACACATCCCGCCCAATGCAAACCTTCTCCAAATAATTGCCTGTAATATTTCATTTATTTAGAATTAAGGGGGAAAACTCGTGTAAATGCACATTTTTTCAACATTTTTTTTACCAAAAAGTGGTAAAGTTGATTGAATTAAAATAACAAAAAAGTGAATGAACAGAGCGATCTCGCGCGCATACCTAACTTCGTTTGGTAGCATTTGAAGCGTTACACTTATGTATACTATAGACATTTATTCTTTAAATTATAGATTAGAAATGTAGGATCATATTTTACATATGGCAAACTAATTTTAGGTATTTATCAAATATAAGGCATATTAATATAAAATCAATAAAATAAGTCGTTTTAGTTAGTTTACATAGGAAAAAAGTTGATTTTTTATTTTTAAAAAATTCAATTAGTTAACAAACATTATATTATTAGAAATTAAATGAGTTATATATTTATTTCTTAATAAAAATGTTTCATAGAAATATTTTCAAATTATGATTATGAGCAACATTGTAAAAAAGGCCTACTTACTCAACAGTGAATTCCGTTTCTCCCACGGGAATGCAGTAAACAAATTGAAGGGCACTCCATAGTCTGTGAAATTCAGTACATTCGTCGATATTCATTACTCCGTTTGCTGGAGGTGGTCCAACCCAAATTGGATCATCCAAAAAACTTCTGAGTCTACTTAGTACAACTTCAAAAATCGAAAGTCCACAGCAAAGTCTTTCTCTAGTTAACAAATCTCCTTCCCTTGCTATCATGGCTTGCTACAATAATTAGTTTTTTTAAATTAAGATTATTGTAAAATTAAATAGAAAATGTGAAATGTGTAACATTAAATAAAAAAAGTCATTTACTTTTGCAGTTCCAAGTTTATCGACATTTAGAACAATTTGAAGCGCCGCATATTTTGATTCCAGTCTTTTCTGTTTCGTCTCTGGTTTTTCTCCCTCTATTTCATAAAAAGAATACATCAAAATTATAATTTTGAATTTTTCTTTCGGTGCTTGTTTAAACTATCTAATTAGGGGACATAGGGGCAAAATGGGATAGTTAACGTTTGAAACTCAATAAAACTAACATTACTATATCTATATTTTATTATTTATTACAATAATCATCTTTGGGAATCAACCTTCCATGGCACAATCTTATTAGGAACATTTGTTACATAATAAAACATAAAATTAACAAAACGTAGAAAAGTGAAATATGACCATCTTGTCTCCCCTGGGGGCAAAATGGGATACCTAAAGAAACAAGCTGGTGTTTACAAAAATATCAACCTATTATTGCTTGCAATCTTCAAAAGTGAAGGTTGCATCTTCACCTTTTTTCCAAAATGATTTGAGGGACAGAAAATATATTTGCTGCTAAGTTGAAACCCATTTTTCGCCCACTGCATTTTTCATGCTCTCTTCTAACCAATTTTCTCTACTTGTCTTTATTTTATAATTTTTTTAACCTTCTACAAGAAAAATGAAACATTTACACAAAACTAATTAACTCATGTACTTACAATAATATGTTTTTAATTATATGATAAAATAAACTCCATATCCGATTTTGCCCCCTCATGCGAAATGACTCAAAAATTAAGAATGGATAAGTTAGAAGAAAATCACCGAAAACAGTTTTTTTTCACGAAACAACGTGGTTAAAAAAAAGGGGGGTATAATCCTTCAATGTTTTTACCACCTGAAAACTGTGATATTGTTTCCACAGTATGTGCAATACGACCATTATTGGCCCATTAATGTGTGAATAAAGGCAACTATCCCGTTTTGCCCCCAATTCCCCTATAACTATAATTTAATTTTCAATTTTTTATATAAATTAGAACATTTATTTTTTTTTATTATTTCTGTTTTAGGTTGTTTGAATTTTGTATCTTTTTTAAAAGTCTAAATGAAACTTAAATAAGTTTTATAATATACAAGTTAATAGTGTAGTGAAGATTTTAATTTTTGTTTAAGTTTGAGCCAAATCGAAAAGGGTATTTTTAAGATAGGAATTTGAAATTTTTGTTAGTTGAGTTAGTTTGAATATTGATATTAATAATGAAGTTATTTTAAACTGCTCACCTTTGCAATGAGGCCTTGGTAAAATGTTTTGAAACGGAGCAGCATGCAGCAAGTCACAAACTTCCTCTTGTGACAACGCTTGTTCCATCAAAAGGCAGAATAAAATAGTATTCCCGAATTCCCTAAAGTTGTGGAAAAGTTCTGTTTTCGCGTCTGGATATTGGACAATGTCATTCAGTTGTGCATGATAATACCCCAAAACTCCGGGAGATCCATAATCATATCTCGGGAGCTTGCAAACTTTCGGCATCGCTTCCATTAATGTTTTCGTAAACTGAAGAAGACTGCCTTGAATTAATGATTTAACGATTTTCAACAACTCTTCCATTACTACGGCAATTCCTTGATATCCAAGGAGCTTACACATCGTCCGGAAATGATAGGGACCAACGAAACCTGAATATTGTCCAAATTGTGTTGTATAAGCAAGATTTAATTGCTTGCTTCCCCACAAATAATGATGAGACATCTGTGGAGGTTTGTCTCTGTGCACTGGTTGCACAAACTGAATTCCATGACATTTTACGAATCTGAAAATTTAATTTCCTTTCACAAATTTCAATGAAAAACGTACTAATTTAAATATCTAATATTTTCAAATTCACATTAAACCTTAAAAATTTGCAATGTTTAAAATTATTTCTTCTATCAATTTGTATTATTTTCAAACATTCAGGGTTCATAGCATAAAATTTGCTAAAAAAAAGGACAATAAGGGAAATTTTGTTCGAAAAAAGGGAAAAATTAGAGTAAAATCTAAATGTATATTTTCTTTAACCAAACTGCTTTAAAGTTGTTTTAAATTACACTACCGGGGAAAAATTTAATACCACCCATTTTCTTGATGAATAAAAAACATCTTAAAACATAAAGTACACGGAGAGAAATCTGCTGCGATTTGCGCATGAGCAAGTCCATAGGAATATAGCATGGACACTTCCAAGCAAAAACTATAAGATTCCATCTGAATATCAGGTGAGACTCATACAATAATACCTCGCTCACTTAGGATTTTTTTCTTGAAAGCGTCTGTTACTATATTCCTAAGGACATGCTCATGCGTAAATCGCACCAGATTTCTCTATATAGAAACAAAATTTTTTAAAAGATGATAAATTTATAGAGGGAAGTGAGATTTAAAGGAAAGATTTCACCAGTATAGTAATTAATTTTTTTTTAAATGTCATTTTCAATGTTTTATAAAAATTTGAATTGCATACATATAATAAATAAACGCTTTTTATTTTTTAAACTTATTTTAAAATTAATTTTCCACAGAATGAAAATTACTTTTAAACTAATTTTTTTCTTGAAAAATGCAGGTAATTTTTTATTTTATCAAACTGAAAACGGTCTTGTAAAATATAGAAAACTTGATTTTATTCATATTTTTCAAAGAAACTGAAATTTTTAATTTATTTCAAATAAATTTGTTTAAATTAAATTTTAAAATTAATTTTCTGTTAAAAAAAATTTCCAATTTTCCTAATTCAGGCTTCGGATTAACTTTAGAAAGAGAAAGAAGTCGTTTTAGTTGATTTTCATTACTAGAAATGAAATAAATTTTTTCTAATTCTATAATAAGAATGTTTCACATGAACATTTCCATGAACTTTTTTTTAAATTTCAGAATTAAACTATAAAAAATTTTCAAGATTTCAATTCAGTAGGATAAATTTTGAAAAATAATTTAAAGTTACATTAAGAGAAAAAAAATTCAAAGTCATTGTACAAATTATTCGAATTCAAAATTTTGGCAAATATTTAAATAATAGAATTTTCAAAGAACTTGATTAAAATATTTTTGATAAAAATTAATTTATTAATTGTAATTGTTGTAAATTTGAATTGCTGAAAATTATTAACAAAATTTTAAACAGTAATTGAATTTTAAAGAATTTTTAATAAAAAAATTTGAACATTTTTACCTGTTAGTTGCTGCATTATAGCAATAATTTGGAAGAAAATCATAATTAAGTTCCCAAAAAACATGGAGAGTTATTCTTCCATAAGGAGCGAGAACATTGTGATTTGCTTCTCGGAACATTGCATCGTATTCGTCTAAAGCCAACCATTTACTCAACAATTTATGAGTAAGGCGATTTACTTGTAAAAGTCCATCCAGTTCCTTAAAATGTTTCAGTGATTGAAATATATTTTTAAAATCAAGACAAATATTAATTACATATTTACAAAATCAAATTGATAATCAACGATTAAAAAGTTTTTTTTTACTTACAACAACTCCAGTGATGTCTCCAGATTCGAATTTACTAATTGCCTGGTCTAAAGATTTTTGCATATCAGCATTAATTCTTTGTGTAATTAATTTGTTTAAATCAATACTCCTTCCCAATAATTGAACATGTCTTTGCTTTAATAATGTTTCATATCTATTGGCTCTGGGATAAGGTAATAAATATGCTCCTAATGTGATGCATTCAACTCTAAATCTCTTATCCAAAAGAATGCTAGCAGCCAATTGTTTGTAATGAGCAAATATCTGTTCGCTTAATTTATAAACGAACTGATCAAAACACAAATTTACCTCAGCCTCAACTTCATCATAAAGAAATTGTTTTCGGAAAATTGTTAAAGCATATAGAGCGCTGTCATTATACAGATCCAGAGGATATAAAACATACCTGAAACAAAACTTTAATTCTTTAAATTTTACTCTAAATTAAGAGAAGATTTGATACTTGAACCATTGAATGCGAGTCTACAGGCTCGCACACTCATCTAAAGCACTTTTTTAAAATATATATATATATTTAATTCTAAAATTTCCAAGACAAAAATATTTAAAACAATAATTTCTTTTAAACTATTTAACAATAAATTAATTAATAAACATTGCAAATAATCTTTTTAAATGAATTATAGTAGACCAAGAAACTAAAAAATTTGTCCTGAAGTTACGAAAAGATTTTTCAAAAAGTAATTTAGTAGGGGTGCACCAACCTGTTATAAATTTTAAATATTTGATTGTAATATTTAAATTTAAAATTATATAAATTGAAATGGATTAAATTGTTTAAAATTTTTTAAATTTAATGATATTTATTTTAAAGATTTTGTTTTTGTTGGTAATTTTTTTTCAACAAATGTATAAATGCTGCTTGCTAATATTTCTTTTTTATTTAAAAAAAAAGATAATAATTGACTATTAAACTTACTCCATCATTGATGGCTCCTTGCTTCTTAAAATGTGGTCAGTTAAAATCCAGGGCATTGACATTTCAATGGGAAACTGTAAGAAAAATAAAGTCAAAAATATTATTTCTCAAGTATGAATTAAAAACCTTAAAAACTCACAAAGCGTAATACATTTCTATAAATAATACACATTAAAACCTAATAAAGGACCGTCACCAAGTTATTAAGGAAGATTCTTTGATTTTTAAAAATATCCTTCAACTTTCTGTTGAAAAACTTTTTGCAGTGAATCCAATTATATATCGATTACTTTTTCGACATTTGATACGTATAAACTTACAAATAATTGTATAAATGACTAAATTACATTAGATGACGTGAACATTACATTTTCTGTCATCTCTTTTTGTTATTCAATTGTGATTTTCATAAATTCCTCATGGAGAAAATTGCAGAGGGCTTTCAATTAAGGATTGACAAAAAATTTCCTTTATAATTTTCCCTGACATCTAGGCTATATTTTATGTTTTTCCTAACATTTTCGAATTTGGTTATTTTTTATAAAATGTGAATTTTATTAATAAAACTTTTGTTAATAAAAATTCGTTCAAATGAAAATTATGTTTATGTACATTGTAAGAAGAACAATTCAAATTCATAAAAAAAATTCAATTATATATTTTCAACAGTTTTAATGAGATTCTTTATAAAAAGTCAATTATTTTGAAAGCTTTCAACCAAATTTTACAAAATATCCATTACTTACTTCTTTATAATTCAATATATTCAAAAATTCAATTATTTTTAAAAACATGATTTAAATTTATTATCTAAACAAACTTAATTATTTCATAATTTTAAATTAATTCTTTGATAATTGAATTATATTTGAAATTTTTAGTTTAAAATCTTTTAAAAACAGAAAACACTGTACACTGGAAATAATTTCAACCCTAAAAAATTGCATCCTTTCACTGATTTTTGTTCCAACTTGTTCGGGACACCTCACTTAACATTTTCCAAAAAGAGAAACCAAAATGCGTAGGGCGCTTTTTTTATTTTAATTTTTGTGTTTTTATCGACGATTTAAAAAAAACTAGTTTTTCTGATTACATACAGGGTATATAAAAAACCGGGACGGTTGGATATCTCTTAAGGATTTTATTTTAGAGAAAAGCGGCAAAGGAAAAAGTTTTTCAGAATAAAAAATATTGGTCTCGCGAGACCCATATTTTTTATTCTGAACAACTTTTTGTTTTTCTATGAAATAAAATCCTTAAGAGATATTCAACCGTCCCAGTTTTTTTGATACACCCTGTATAAATTAATTAAATTCAATTTTTATTAGTCAAAAATCAAAAAATTATGCAAAAACATAATTCTTATAGAGAACTTTTAGTAGAATTGGAATCTAACATAAGCTTTGGAGTTTAAGAAAGAGGAATCCTAGAAAATCCTGAAAACTGTAACACAGCCACACAAAAAGAAAAAAGTACCCGGACCGGGGAATGAGACCACCATTTCTTGATGTATTTTGATGCGCTGAACACGAATCTGAAGTCCGTTTAGCTCCATCACGTCAGGATTTTGACATAACCTCAAAAAACATAGCTGATTTTAAATGACAGGAAAAATTTTTTAAATAATGGCAGATTTGCTTGAATCTTGTTACTCGGGGGTTTTTGGGGTCGCTGATTACGAACTTAACGTCAGATTTATAAAATTCAAAATGGCGGATCCACTATGGCGACGAATTTTTAAAAAGTAGTTGGATTTTTATGAAAATTGGTATTTAGGGGTTTCGGGAGTCGCTGATTACAAATTTATCGTCAGATTATTCAAATTCAAAATGGCGGATCCAATATGGCGGACGAATTTTTTAAAAATAGTTGAATTTTTATGTAACTTGGCCGATACTGGGGTTCCGAGTCCCTGCATCGTAATACGTTTCCTACGTGTGTCTGCCATGACGGCATCAAAGCCATTATCCAGGGACTTAGCCGGATAGCGGACAAACTCCGTTGCCCACCGTCACCACGTGGAGGTGTCCTGGATGCAGACACATGTAGAAACATAAAGATATTTGACCACCGTACTATATCTGCCATTTTACATTTGAATAATCTGACGTTAAATTCGTAATCAGCGACTCCAAAAAAACCCCCATGATACCAATTTTTGTAAAAATCCAACTACTTTTTAAAAATTCGTCGCCATATTGGATCCGCCATTTTGAATTTTATAAATCTGACGTTAAGTTCGTAATCAGCGACCCCAAAAACCCCCGAGTAACAAGATTCAAGCAAATGTGCCATTATTTAAAAAATTTTTCCTGTCATTTAAAATCAGCTATGTTTTTTGAGGTTGTGTCAAAATCCTGACGTGATGGAGCTAAACGGACTTCAGATTCGTGTTCAGCGCATCAAAATACATCAAGAAATGGTGGTCTCATTCCCCGGCCCGGGTACTTTTTTTTTGTGTGGCTGTGTAATCAATCTCACCGGCACTTTTTTAAAGTTTTCAAATTTTCTGTATCGAATTTATAGCGCCCGACGGATTTTGGTTTTTCTTTTTAAAAAATGTTCAGTGAGGTGCCCCGAACAAGTTGCAACAAAAATCGGCAAAATGACGCAACTTGAGGGATAAAATTGTTTCCATGGTACCGTGAAACAGTAAAAACTTTTTATTGAAACTCTCTCTTAAGAAATTACTGTTCCTTTTTCCTTTTTTCCCTGTTTTTTGCAAAATTTTTTAAATTCGCTTCCACTTTGTCATTTTTAAATATTTTTTTTTACTAAATTAAAATTATTGCTTTTAACACAATAATTTAATTTTTTGGATTTGAATTTTTCCTCTAAATTTTGAATTTTAACCGTTTATCTGAAACTATGACTTTTATAGTATTTTTAATTATAAATATTATTCAAAATTTTTTTAATAATTCAAGGTTTTTTAAATTCAAAGTTTGATTTGATTAATTAATTGATTAAATATCTGAAGTAAGATTTTCAAAATTCAAAATGGCGGATCTAAAATGGTGAGCAAATTTTTTAAAAATTGGTCAATTTTTATAAATTTTCCTTAAGATTAATAGATTTTCATAAAATTTGTTACTAGGGACTTTTTGGGCTTGTTAATACTTATTTTTAATATTCAAAATTATGAATCTACAGCTTTTTGTACTACATAATCTTTATCAACAACTCCAAGAAACTGTAGATACCACAATTCTTGAAAATATATTAATTTTTTAAAAATTTGTTGCCCACATTAAATTCGCCATTTTGAATTTTAAAAATCTGACTTCAGATTCGTAATCAGCGACACAAAATTAACCTAGTTTCCAAGTACAAAGAAGTTAGATACTCTGATCCCTGAACTCCAACAATTTTTTTTGTGAGTCTGTGTTATCTTCCTGGATATATTTTTTCACATTGAAAATTATTGCATTTTTTCTTAATAACTGCAGAAGTAGCATGCAATATGCAAGAATAATGCTGTCATACGATGCAATTTAATGCAAAAATGAATAGTAGAATAACACAGAACTTTAGCAAAATACAAATTGTACAATGAAACCGTAAAAGAATATTTTTTTTTTTGAAGAAATATTGAGAACATATATGAAGGGTAGAATGACAAAAGGGGTCAAGCGCCAATTTATCGAAAATGAGGTTTTTGCATAAAAAAATCAAGAAAATTCATTTACACATTTTAGTAGAAGGATTTCCTTTTTTATTGCGTATTTAAATCAGTTTTTAAAAAAATTAAATTAATAAAATAGCCTCAAATTTACTTTATTGCAACCTGATTGAAAAACAAAAGAAAGTGATGAGTCAATAATATTATCAAAATAAAAAAAAAATATTATTTTTTTAGGTTTTATTTTAATTTTATTTTAATAATATTTTAATTAATAAAATTAATAATAATAATAATGTATTTTCAATTTTAAACAATTTTAAAATCATTTTGTTATTAATTTTTAAATATTTTTATGGTTATACTAAGTGAACAATTGAATTTAAAGATGAAAGTATTGCTCAATTCCAAAGCAAGCAATTAATTCGTAATTTTCTTGAAAACAAACAATTTTTTAAAGGAATTTTTTTTTCTATTCATTTCGTCGATTCCATAGAAAGAAACTAATTTTCCAGTTTTTCTTCAAACTGTATATTTTTTTTATAAATAATGCTTAAAGAAAATGTGCGCAGTTGATATAACCTCAAGGCACCACAGTTTTTTTTTAATTTTATCGTTAATATGTAGGTTTATTTCAACAAATTGTTGTCTATTTATTAAAACATACTAATATATCGAAACGGTTTTCTCAGTTTTTTTTTAAATGACCTGCAAAATTTTTAAAAATGTTTTTTTTACTTCCTGTAAAAACAGTGAATTGGCGCTTGACCCCTTTTGTCATTCTACCCTTCATATATACTTTTTAGAATTGTATGTAGGTAAATAACTGAAGTATAAAATGTACGCAATTGAAAATTTTTACATAAGAACCGACATCGGATTCGATGTCATTTCCGATGTCGCTTCTTATGTATTGTACTTTTCTTTTTTTTTATAAATAATTAAGAATAAAATTATAAGTATTTAAAATCTTTCAATGAAATAGTTATAAAATATTATATGCTGCGTGGGATGCATAGAAGTTAGTTCTCTTTCAATGAGATTTCACTGTTTACATGTGTAAAGCAAATAAATTAAAGAAAAGTCATGAATAAAAATCAGATGATTGTTAGTGAATAAAGTACCTGAATGCGTTTTTCCATGGTGATCAAGTCGCTGCATTCTTCATTGTGTTGGTGCCGCACTTGGCATTTCTATTCACGAAAGCAGTCATACAAAGTTTCAGTATATTTACCAAAATCGATAAATTCATACAAAACAAAAGCAATTTGTAGAGAAAGAATAGAAGAAAAACAAAAGACTCGACGCGCCACTCACGTAACGAAACAAATCCATTGTTTCTTTAAAATCACAACAAAAATATATTAAAATTTTCTTAACAGTTTATTTCAATTTAATTAAAAACTTTTTAAAAACTTTAAAATCATAGCTTAATATTAATTTAATAAATTTAAATTTTTTATAAAATATGTAAGTATAACTTTTTTTTAAATTAAATAAAATACAAATTATTATTAACTTTTGATTTGTCATGTTACGATTTAAGTAGCGTCTTTTTCATAAAGCAACTGATATTTCTTTTAACTGAAATATATCATTCTCAAAATATTTGAATAAGTTTACTCACTTGAATTTTTCGGCCCATTGTCATTTCAAGATAGAATTCTCTATACCACAACTGAGAAAGATCACAACAGTTTTGCAAAGATTCTATAAAAAAATTGAATTGTTAAACATAATTGTAAATGAAAATTTGATATTTTCAAGGTGGACTAATACAAAAATCTTAAAAGTGTCCACTCTTATTTTACCTACCAACTTAGTTTTTTTAAGTATTCCATAATTTCAAGAAATTAAGTAAACATTTTTACTAACCGCTAAAATTAAGCAGATAACTCCAATAGAAACTGGTTTTATGAAATTGATCAATTTGCACAAGATATTGTCCATCAATATCCTTTCTCAACGTTCGCTTTCCTCCGCTTTTATCAGCTATTAAAGATTCCAGCATCGTTCGTACCATATAAAGCTGTGTTGAGCTTGGTCCTAAAATAAAGAAAATTATCATTATTTAATTTGAAACAAAAAATATTTATTGAATTTTCAAGACCCCAGGAAAAAAAATTATTAAACAAAAAATTTAAACAAAACTTACCGACATTTCTCCTTGGAACTTTAATTCCAAATCCATTATCAGGATCTTTTTTCCCCTTTAAGGCAGGATCACTAAGTGGCTCTACACCAAAATGCCAGTCAGCACAAGTTTCCCTCACAGAAACAATAATACTGAAAATAAATTTTTAAAAAGTGAAAAATGATGGAATCCAGTTGCACTTTAATTTAAAATTCAAGTTAAAATATAATTTACAAGATGAAAATATGTAAATTACAAAAAATGGAAGATGTACTGTGAGAAACAATAAATAAATGTCAACTCTATAGAAAGTCGAACTGGGGTAGAAAATTACCTCGAAGAAAATTCAAAATACTCCCCTTGCTCTGTCTCACGAATTATTTACGTAAGTTTTTTTTAAACTTATTGATCACATTTTTTGTGAAGTCAAAAAATTAAAAAAAGGTTTTTTTCTTTATTAAAAACCGAAGGGTTAGTCCATTATATTCCAACCAAAGTCATTGGCAACTATAATTTTTAAAAATTATAATACTTTGCAGGAATAATCTCGAAGATAATAAGATCACGAAATAAAAAATAGTTGAATTTACTTCAAGACTCGACACCTGCAAACCAACTTCAACTTGAGAAGAAATTATTGTCAATATGACCTCAAAAATAAATAAATTTTTATTTTATTTATCTTAAAAAATAAGTAAAGGTTTCGGTGTGTGTGTATTGTCTATCAAAATATTTCCAAAATTTCATATTTATTGTTTCTACTGAAAAAAGTTATTGGCATTCAAATATCGCGAAAATCATCAAATTGTCGATTTTAATTTTTAAATTTTTTGTAATTATGAAGAAAAAAGTGGAAATGTGTAAGGAAAATCTAAAAGTTAATTGCAATGGTTTTATATTTGGTAAGTTTTCATTTAATTTAATGATTTCCCTTAATCTTATAATTAATCGTTGAAAATCGTAAAATTAGGTTATTTGACAGGTGAACTTAAAAATGATATTTTATTTATTATTTCATATCTTTAAATCCAGAAATCAATTTAATAAATTTAATCACTCTTAATGAATTGCAATAATGTTTTTGTCACTTTTGTGGTAAATCATATATTTTCTCGAATATCTTCTACTGGCTAAAAAACTGACAGTTTTCAGCATCTCGTACATTTTAAATTCATATTTTAAAGTCAATAATAAATATTTTATTAAAACTCTTATCATTTCGTGATCTTAATACCTTTGAGATCATTTCTGCAGAGTATCATAATGTTTAAAAATTAGTTTTCAACGACTTCGGTAGAAATATAAAGGATTGACTCGGTAGTTTTCTACCCCAATTAGGTTTTTATGTTGGAGCCAGCTATATTAGGCTTTTCATGGTTAAATAACAACATACAAATACAATAATTACTAACCTTCTGATCAGATCCTTTTTATTTTTAATTGCTTTTCTAAGAGGTTCTCTTAACATGAGTTGAACAAAATCTTGAAGCTCAGCATAAATATTTCGTCGAATGGCATCGACGAAAACTGTTTCCATTCTCGCCATTAAAACTTGAAGTCCTTTTATCATGGCAATCACTTCAATTAGAGCGAATTTTTCTTCAGCCGTATAATTATATCTTGTGGCCTAAAAAAAGACATGAAAATACCACAGATTATAATGCATAATTTTCAGTTACTTTGCACCCTCTATCAAGAAGCAATTAGGTAAATTAAATTGAGAAAAAGACACTTGTGTAATATACCCTTTCGTATTCCTCTGCTTCTTGAGGACATTCTTTGTTCATATGATGATCTGTCGGGTGCAGCAATTTCCAACTATAAAGTTCTGTAACAACACTTGTCCATTGAGACAATAACTGAAGTCCTCGTAATGCAAGTTCAGCGGTTTCTCTGTTTTCTGCATCACTTCCACATTCTTTGTACGTTGTTGTCACTTCATTACTATATCTGATCCAAAGTAAATATATTTTGTATTAATTATATGTATAGCGAACCAAATGGTGTTGTTTTATTTTTAATTCAATCCGCGCTTCAGAAAGATACATTTCCATATTATTTAAATTTTTAGTATGTACACTACCGTCCGAAATTGTGCGAACTCTGCTTTTTCAACAACTATAAAACTGTTCAAATCTTCAAAAATATTAAAACTAAAATTTTTTCCTCTTTATTTTATTAAAGCTAATAAAATTCTGAAAGAAATGACACCTTGACAAAGAGAATATGTTAATTTTTCAATTAGATATCTAAGAAAAACCCAATTTTCAATGTTTTTACTATTTTTTTTATTTCACTGGCAAAAATTAATATTTTTAAACGTTCTTAGGCTCATTGAAATCGTATTTTGTTATGCAATTCAAATTATATAAAACAATTCATGTACACATTCTTCCCTAGCGTATGCAAACCGTTAAAGTTGGCTCATAAAATGTCAAAAAATTTAAATTTAATTCTACAATAAAATATAATGTTTAAAAATCAAGTAAATATATCATTCTAAACTTCTCTGATTTATGTAAGTAAATTTAAGATTTATACATTTTACTGATCATTTTTTGTCATATAAATATTAATCACAATTTTTTGACATTTTATGAGCCAACTTTCACGGTTTGCATACGCTAGGGAAGAATGTGTACATAAATTGTTTTATATAATTTAAATTGCATAACAAAATACGATTTCAATGAGCCTAAGAACGTTTAAAAATATTAATTTTTGCCAGAGAAATAAAAAAAATAGTAAAAACATTGAAAATTGGGTTTTTCTTAGATATCTAATTGAAAAATTAACATATTCTCTTTGTCAAGGTGTCATTTCTTTCAGAATTTTATTAGCTTTAATAAAATAAAGAGGAAAAAATTTTAGTTTTAATATTTTTGAAGATTTGAACAGTTTTATAGTTGTTGAAAAAGCAGAGTTCGCACAATTTCGGACGGTAGTGTAAAATATAAATGTGTTACAATGCTGGTATAGCACTGTAATCACCATTCATTATTTTACTATTATTTCGCAATGAGTTAGGCACATTATTATTGCTGCCTCATCAGTTTTTTTTATGAAGACAAAATTTATAAGAAAATTAAAATAAAAAGTAAACAACTTCTTACAGATAAAATTCATTAAATAATTAATAAATCGAATTGATAATCAAATTCAAATTACATAACTTCAATTTGTATTGAAAGTTTGAGTCTCGTATACGCGTCGATAACTCCATGGAGCGGGTGTGTTTGGCATGAGTCGGTTCTTTTAAATTAATAAAATAATCCCTTATCATTCCTTGTTTTCCACTTTCATTAATATCATAAAAAAATGTAAGTCGACTCTGACATGCTGAATTGATAGAACTATATACGTACAACAATATAGCTAAAATAAGTACCAAGAATTTATATTGCGTCAATGACTTAAAATGCAGTTCTTTGGTAAAATAAAAGATTTTTAAGTTTTTATATGGAAAACTGAAGGTTGCAACACCTTATTTCGCAACCATAACCAAAGCTAAGCCTACTTTATCAAGTAAAGTTTAATGCGGCCTGAAATAAGTTCTATAAAACAACAGAGATTGACAATAATAGTTCACCCCAAGTCGAACGTACGTATAAGTGAAAAATATTTTAGAAGTTACGTAAATTAAATGTTCTGTTCAAAATGTACTTAATTTGTGAGACTTTTTCGGAAGTTAATGAACTTTTATGAGCAGTGCAGAATGTACGTATCTCGTATACTCCGGATCAAAACTACTTAAGTTTGAGGTTACGTTTAGAACTTGCCTGTGACAGTTTACATGATTTTTCAAAAAACGAAATACAATATTGAAACGTTATTAAATATAGAAACATTTTATCAAAAATGGAAGTCATGTAATCGAGAGATTAATTAATATTTTATTATTATTTATATTCTTCTGGAAACTCACAAAAGTAGACTTAAGTGAGTTCTAAAAGTTACCTCCCCCTTAAGTAGTTTTGATTCGGAGTATGCGAGATACGTACATTCTGCACTGTTCATAAAAGTTAATTAACTTTCAAAACATTTTTCACATGTACGTACGTTCGAGTTGGGGTGAACAAAATGTATTGAGAAATTCATTTCCTCATACGAATTTTCAACTCAATTTTCACTCAATTTAGTGAATGAAGAATTAAATCACCCTATGAAAGTTACAAGAACGAAAAAATTGCAAGACAGAAATTGGTAAAAATGTGTACTTGATTATCAAATTGCAACTTGACACTACTCACCACTCACCACCAAAATAAGGTGTTGTTTTGAAATTGTAAAACAAACATAATTCGAAGCTTAATTTATGTTTAATTTCTTAAGGAACTGGTAATTAAAGGAAAAACTAAATTTGTAAAAGAATCTTTGAAAAGAATAATTTTTATGTAATAAACACAAGTTAATAAATAGAGTTGTTTGATTAAGCCTATTCTTAATTATCAATATAAATAGACAATATGAAAAATGATAAAGATCTTCTATCGATCCAGGAAACGATCCCATAAATTAAATATAAAATTTGATTTTTCTTTTCCTTGTATTTATTATGGTTGTTATGATCGAAGAGAAGGAATTAATAAGAATAATTAATTTCTTAAATAAACATATTAATAACATAATATGTACTACACGGAGAGAAATAAATGGTACGGGGTACTATCTAGATAGTACCAGGTACCATATTTGATCTTACATATACGGACAGCAATCTAGATTCTATCAGTTACTATCCTGATTATACGGAGTAACATCTTGATTGTAGTGTGTAACATAACTATACTTTTTGTAACATCTTTGATAGTACTGAGTAGCATAATAATAGTACCGGATAACATCTACTTTTTATCATCTTAAGATCATAAGTTCTTACCATCTATTTCTCTCTGTGTATGTTAGTATAGAAGAATAAGTAATTTACCTTGCTAATTCACTTATGTATTTAACATGATCTTCTCTAATTTGAGGAAGATGGACCATCAAATCTGCCTGAGGACTAATGTTATTTGAGGAAGCTGACATAGGCCATTTGGAAGCATCGAAATGCTTTGATCTTTTGATATAATTAAAAGGTGCAATTTGCATATCTCCAAATAGGGGGACAACTTCTAGATTCTTAAAAATTCTATCAATCCTTTCGAGTTTTACTTTCTTCTTCTGGTCCAATTTGTTAATATTGCACAATTCACTGTCCATAAGAAATAGCCCGAATCCCATGACTTTAACTAACATATGTTTCTCGTTTGGAGTGAGGTACATTTTTGTTTCAAACATATGAACGCATATGTTTACAACATCAGCTAGGAGATCCTCGTAACCTGCAATTTTCTCCAAATTTTCCTTTACTGTATCACGAATTTTATTTTGAGTTGCGAGAAACATTGACAAATTCTGAGATTCTTGGAGAGTTTGAGAGTCTGACATTACTTTTAAAAACTGAGCCGCTCTAAAAAATATGAAAAATTTTAATTTACTATTCGTCATTAGATTGAACATTTTTTAATTCAAGTTTACCTTCTATATGTCGAATAATCATTCTTAACACTTGATTTCATGTTCTTAAGTTCGTCGAGAACGGCGAACATATTAATAAATTTTCCCAAAGTTAAAAGGTAAGCTTCCGAAACAAAATCTTTTCGTTTCTCATGATGGCATAATCTCTTAACTTCTGCTGAAAATCGTTCAATTGCTTTGCGCTGTAAAGTAATTATTATTTACTAAACAATACAATAATTACATTTTAAATTAAATATTAAAAAAATAGTTATTAAGTACGTAAGGTTCTCTCGAAGTAAGCACCTCTTCAAGTTTTTGGGGACGCCCAATTTTCTCCAAGTGCACCATGGTTTCATGCGTGCACAACGAAAAAAAAAAATTTTTTGGAAATTAATTCTTACTACCTCCGTGTGATCCACTTAAGGAAACTTATAGATCTCTGAATGTTCACTTGGGGAGAATCTACTGTATCAAAGTAAATCATAAATTTTTATTTACCTGAAAATACATAAAGTTCAATAGCTTATTCACTTCAGGTGCCAAAACCTCAACAGTTTTTTCGTAAATTTCAACCCTGTTTGGTTGCTCATTAGATTTAGGTTGTGGTATTGCTCGGGAGCAACATCTCCAAGTGTAAAGCATCACTGCATGTTCCAATCCTTCTTCTAAAAGTTCATTCTGTAAAAAAAAACTAATTAAACTCTTTGCAATACAGAATAGTGCTATTTTTCATATTTCTAATTAACTTAACATACACTATTGCAAAATAAATTTTGCTAACCTTACAGCAATTAAAAGAATTAAAAAAATATTTATATTTCATTATGTTGAGTTGTGATAGTTAAGTATTCACTAAATAAGTTTTGTAATTGCTTTTCGGTCATACAAATAAAATAAAATTGTTCGGCTTTTCTTCAGGAGAAAATTAGGAAATCAACCAGCATTTGTTTACTGAGAGAAGTGCTTTGAGTTCATATGTCCTCGATTTTTAAGGATATCCGGAAAATATTTTAGTTGAAAAGATTTATTTACAAATTTTGTTCTGAAGAGAGATTGGTATTGACTCGAAACGTCGACAAATGTACTTCTAATTTATTTAAATATTAAATAATTGTTGTATACATTGTCCTTCAATATATTTTAGTAAATAATGTGTATACATAATGTCTTACTTTTATTCCCCATACACAATATAAAATTCATTTATTTTTTAATTCTTATTTTTAAATGACCATACATTATATTTAATATAATATAAAATACTAACCAAACTTGCGTGAACAGTCGCTTCCTCAATATATTTAGCAATCCCAGTAACAAATCCATTGCGGTCTTCAAAATTTGTATCAAAATTTGCTTGATAAACAACAGAACAGGGTTGAGCTTCAATACATGGTTGTTCATCAGGTAATGTAAATTCGTCAAGAACATCAACGTTTGATAAAGCATCTCCTAAAGTTACTTTATCCGCAGCCATAGTTCTTATATTTTATAAACCTATAAATTAAATATAACGATTTCTATCAATTGCATGAGCGAAAAGTACTATTCAGTAATCAGTATATAATAAACAAAATATGTTGTAGGACAAAATATGCTTTTGATATATATGTCGAAAATACCATATAATGGCTTCAATCGTCATAATGTAAACAAACTTTAAATTCTAATATTCTAATATATCTTAATATTAATAATATTGAGGCACTGTCGACAATGTCCATTAATCGACATTGACCATAAAATATGATTATTGAATTTGATCGCCATATTGGATCCGCCATTTTGTATTTTCAAAATCTGATGTCAGATTCATAACACAGGCCGACAAAATTTTATCAACTTCATGTTGACTAAAATGTTACAGCCGATTATTATAGGATTTTTGCCGTAGAATCCGAATCTGACCTTGAAAATATCCAATTGGCTCTAGTTTTCGAGCAATAAGAGTTTTAAAGTGCCAAAAAACGCGTTTTTGTCCTTTTTTGCACAGCTGTGAAACAAAAACCCTAAAGAACCCAAAAGCTTGCGAAGCAAACTTTCAGAAGTTTACCACTGCAAGGTTGCATCTTAAAAACTCTTGTTGCTCGAAAACTAGAGCCAATTGGATATTTTCAAGGTCAAATTCGGATTCTACGGCCATGAAGTAGTATAAGGAGCACTCACTCTATAGGCCGTTTTTGAAAATTCTTCCCCAGCCTTTCCAGATTTAATAGAAGCATTTACATATCCCCGATACTAACAACCCTAGCGGAAAAGCGAGGAACTACAGGTCTCGTGGTACATTGTTTGTGTATAACTGTCAGTTGGCGTTTTTTTTGAAATGTGTTTGATGCGAGTTAATGTTGTGTAATTATAAATAAAAAAGTGAAAAATGAGTCACTGCTTTGTAAAAGGGTGTACCTCAAAGTGGTATGTGAAAAAAAAATAATATTGAAAATTTTAATAAACATTACATTTTTTCACCTTCCGTAAGTATATATAATATGTACATATTTTTAAATTATATAATTATTTTTTAGATTATTTCAAACTTATATATGTAAAGGGTATTTAAAATACAAAATATTTAAAAAAAAAATAATCAATGAGAAACTTATTAAGGGGGTACACTGAAAAAAAAGTTCTGGTTAAAGTTACTAGATGCGTTTGGTTAAAAAATTTCTAGTTATTTTAACAAGAAAATATAGTTAAAAAGACTAAACAGTTCTAGTTAAATAAGTATGGTTAAATTATTCTGGTTAAAATAATTCTGGTTAAAAACGCGCGTTCGCGGACACTGCATAGCGTCTGTTATTCTTTTTCGAATAGTTTATCGTGCGGATCGCAAGAATGGATGAAAAAGTTAACCAAGCTCTGGAAAATTGGGGTTTGGGAGAATTAAAAGATCTGTTTAAAGGTTGGTTAATTAATTTTATAATATAAGTGAAAAAATTGTTGACGAACGGCAAACCCGTTCGTGTGGAAAATAGTTTGAAGGTTATGTTGAAAACGTGCTCGACACGTTTTATCAGAATTTTAGTTCTGAATAATCATATTTAAATAAACATTATTAAGAGAATTGCAGTGTAAAGGTGTTATTGTTTGATTGCATTTATATGTACATAATACAAATTTTTTTAATTCATATTTTATAATATTTTATAATATAATATAATAATAATAAATTTAATTAATTCTCTGATTAACTAGAATTTCTGGTAAGATCAACCAGAAATTTTTTTACCAAAAATTTTTAACTAGAAAAATTCTAGTAAGATTAACTTGAAATTCTAGTAAGATTAACTTGAAATTCTGGTAAAATTAACCAGAATTTTTTAACCAAATTTTCTAGTACTTTTAACCAGAAAAAGTAGTAAGGGTATATATAACTTTTTATTCTGGTTAGATTAACCAGAATTCTGGTTATTTTAACCAGACTTTTTTTTCAGTGTTGAACAAGTAATACTTCACATGTATTCTGAATAAATACGCTTCAAAAATTTTTAAATGCTAACGGCAAAATCAAAACCTCAAAAATTACAATAAATTTGTTAAACGGCAAAATCCTTTTCTAAAATTACAAATAAAACTTGAAGTAGTGATAAAAAAAAAAATTATTTCATTAGTTATTTCAATAAAAACGCTTCAAAAATACTTAAAAGCAAACGGCAAAATCGTAACCTGAAAAATAACAATAAATTTCTCAAACGGCAAAATCCTTTTCGAAAATTACAAATAAAACTTGAAATATTGATTAAAAAAAAGAAATATTTCACTAGTTATCTCAATAAAAACGTTTGAGAAATTTATTGTTATTTTTCAGGTTACGATTTTGCCGTTTGCTTTTAAGAATTTTTGAAGCATTTTTATTGAGATAACTAGTTAAATAATTCATTTTTTTTATCATTACTTCAAGTTTTATTTGTAATTTTAGAAAAGGATTTTGCCGTTTGACAAATTCATTGTAATTTTTCATGTTATGATTTTGCCGTTTGCTTTTAAGAATTTTTGAAGCGTTTTTATTGAGATAACTAGTGAAATATTTCTTTTTTTTAATCAATATTTCAAGTTTTATTTGTAATTTTCGAAAAGGATTTTGCCGTTTGAGAAATTTATTGTTATTTTTCAGGTTACGATTTTGCCGTTTGCTTTTAAGAATTTTTGAAGCGTTTTTATTGAGATAAGTAGTGAAATATTTTTTTTTTTTAATCAATATTTCAAGTTTTATTTGTAATTTTCGAAAAGGATTTTGCCGTTTGAGAAATTTATTGTTATTTTTCAGGTTACGATTTTGCCGTTTGCTTTTAAGAATTTTTGAAGCGTTTTTATTGAGATAACTAGTGAAATAATTCTTTTATTTAATCAATATTTCAAGTTTTAGTTGTAATTTTGAAAAAGGATTTTGCCGTTTGACAAATTCATTGTAATTTTTCATGTTTCGATTTTGTCGTTTGCTTTTAAGTATTTTTGAAGCGTTTTTATTGAAATAACTAATGAAATAATTTTTTTTTTTATCACTACTTCAAGTTTTATTTGTAATTTTAGAAAAGGATTTTGCCGTTTAACAAATTTATTGTAATTTTTGAGGTTTTGATTTTGCCGTTAGCATTTAAAAATTTTTGAAGCGTATTTATTCAGAATACATGTGAAGTATTACTTGTTCAATTTGTTGGTTTGTAAAATAATTTAAATTTTCTGAATTTTTAATTTAAAAAATAATGTAATTACTTTTAATTAATTGAACACATTTTTCAACTCGTTATTTTTTAAAAAATTCTATTTAAATCAATCAAGTGATTTAAAGAAATTTTTTGTTTCGTCCAAGATGAAGCAGATTTTTTGCATTACATAATGAGGAAATAATATAGTCATGTAATGAACATAAAGGATTCTCTACTTGTTTTATAGACAAGATATGTTCATAAGAATGATTAACAATATATCACTTATGACTATATTTTTCAGTTTTTTTTTCATTCATGCTGATGTGGAGAGCATATGATTAAAATTAAAATTTATAAGAAAAAAATATTTGTGGAAATTTTTTTCAAATTTTTTTTTTTAAATTAAAAAAATTTTTTTTTTGAAAACACAATTTTTTATTGTGTTACGGCAAAAAAACGGCAAATTCCTATGAAGAGGATTTTTTTTATATTTGTAATCTACGTTTTTACAGCGGGTGCTTTGCTAAGTTCATATGAACTTAGCAAAGCACCCTGTATTAAAAAAAATTTTAAAGCGGCAAAATTTTTTTTTCCACAACTAATTAGCGGCTAAAAAACGGCAAATTTATAGATACTTTTCACATTCATAGCTTGAAGTTGTTTTGCTAACTTCATATACATGAATGGAACACCGTTTAAAGCGGGAAAAAGCATTGTTAATGAAAGGGGCTATTCCTAGAATTTTTTCCCCTTTGGCTTTTCAAGAAGCCTCAAAAAAGTCGAAAAAAGAAATACGTAATGAAAATAAAATAAAAATTAAAAATGATAAAAAATTTATGCAGCTGAAAGGAGAAGAAATTGTATTTAAAGAAATTTTATCTGTCTCTGATAAAATTCCTTTACCATCTACTAATTGGTTTAAAAATGCAACAGAAACATTCATTCAGTGGTCTTCCTTTGATTACAATTTTGACAAATGTTCAAAAATGGTCAGAGTTAATGATAACAAAACAGTAAATGTAGGTATATAATTTTTTATGGAAGATTATATTTATTGTAAATTTATTTTTTAATAACAATAAAAAGTCATAACGTATATATTACTGTTTTTAGGTACTTTTAGGTGAAAAGAAAATAACCATACCTAATTTTGAAACATTTATTAATGTTAATGATATTGTTAAATTATTGAAGGAAGTGGAAAAAATTATTCCTTGTGCTGAAACTGAAAGGTTATTTTTTAAAATAAAATGTTACAATAAATAATGTTTTATTCTGATTGAAATAATAAATATAATTATTTTTTCAGATCTTCTAAATGTTTAGGATTTATTATTCAAAAAGGCACTAGAGGTCGTAAAATTACATTTTGTCAAGAATGTAAAATACTTAAAAAGAAAATGCAAGGAAAAACTTTAGCAATAGATATTTTAAAAAATAAGATAATAGAAAACAAGGATTTGAAAAAAAAATTAAAAATGTTAAAAGGAAACAACTACGATTGGTTAAAAAAGTAAGCCTGGAATTTAAGTTGAGTGTGAAAAAAAAAGAATTTTACGTCAAAGTGGGATTTTTTTAACTTACGTTTAAATCAAGTTCTATTTTTTTAATAAAAAATTAATTTAGGTATCTCGAAAATTTTTTTTTTTTAATTCAATAAATAAAGAAAAACAATTTCAAAAACTTTAATTCACTTCGTTTCTAGGTCTACATTAATGGGTTATAAATGATCAAAATTCAAAAAAGCCATTTTTGGCACAAATTTTTTCAATAAAAGTTGTAAATTATTAAAATGGAATTTTTTGCATCGGATTACGTAAATTTTACAGTAAAAATAATATTTTTAAGTTTGCAAAAAATAAAGATTTTTTAAGTGGATCATCTGAAAAACAAAAAAAACATTTATATTTAATATAAAATCAAATTTTTTTTTAAAGGAATTAAAAATATTGTGTTAACAAAGTTGCAGCTTTTTAAAAAAAAATTTTAATTTCATTTTTTAAATCATACATTTTGTGTAAATAAAATATATTTTTATTCCTTCAAAAAAACAAGATTTGATCTTATATTAACTTAATATTTTTAAATTAACAAGAATGAATAAATCATGAAAAATTAAAAAATAATCTTGAAAAGAACGGGAAATGACCGGGAATTTTGTGGTCGAAATTAGTAGACACCCTGATAATACATTTACATTTATTTTATGGGGTAAAGTACTTAAGAAGAAACTAAAAGACTATCAGATGAAATGTGCCATTACAAAAGAAGAAATTTTAAATAGGGCGATTTATACGCTATCTGAAAAACAGCAATTAGCTGTAAAATCTTGCTTTGATGCAGCAAAAATAAAAAGCCGACGAGGTATGAGATACGGCAGACAGTGGCTCTACGAATGCATACTGCTGAGAATAAAAAGTAAGAAGGCTTACAAGCACCTTTTGAAGCACAAACTGTTAGTTGTACCATCATTATCCACAATAGATAGAAGCATAAGACAAATTAAAAGTGCATATGGCTTTCAGGAAAGCGTTTTCCGCGCTCTAAAATTTAAAACAAAAAACATGGAGCCAACAGATGTACATGATATGCTTAATATTACCCTTTGAGCAACAGTATTGTTTTCAAACAACATTAACATTTTTTGTTATATGATTAAGTTCTTGAATTTTAAAAATGAAAATTGAAAAAAATTATTTTATTTAATATATTAAATTTTCAATTTAGAACTCTGAGTTTTAAAAATAAAAATCTAATTAGTTTCCCAAGAAAATATTTAAAAATAAAATTTTCATTTTGTTTAATAAAATACTATTTCATTAAAGGGTTTAACATTTAACTCAAAAATCTTAACATTTTTAATAATTTATTTTTATTTTACAGGTGCTATTTTAGTAGACGAAATGAAATTGTCCACATCATTAACTTTCAACAAGATGAATTTAAAGTTTGAAGGATTCACAAACCTTGGTGACCCGAGCACCAAAAGTCTGAGCTAGGAGATCATGTTCTGATATTTATGTACCAGTCATTTATGACTGGAAAAATGCAAACTTTAGGTTGTTTCTTGTCAAAAGGAAGCGCAAGCAGCAGCGTTCTACATAAACTGCACGCTAAAAAAACTTTGTATAAACTAGCGAAAATAATCTCTGGAATAGTTATAAGTATAGTTAATATCGCCTTAGCGATAATCCATTTTCGCTAGAATAGAGAAAATGAAATTTTCTATGAGATTTAACTATACTAAATATATATTATGAATAGAATATAAATACAATATCTCTGAAACAGTATTTATTTTAACTATCATAAGAGATATTCAATTTCCTTGAGAAAATGAAAATAGTAATATGACTATTTTAGATTAAACATGTATTTAAACTTGTTAAATGTTATAATTAATCTATTAAATAGATTTCCTTATTTTATAAATATTGTACTTTTACTATGTCACTGTTCATAAATTTTTTAGCGTGTGTTAATAGAATGTATTTTATTAGCAGAGAACGCAGGCTTACGTATTCATTTAATTAAGACGGATGGAGCATCTTAGAATCTTAGATTGTGGTTTATATCAGATTTTCCGCACCTAGTCAAATGTATTCGCAACTTTTTTATAAAATTTTTAAGGAGTCAAGCTATTTGGGTAATTATATATATATATATTCACAATTTACTGTTTTGTACAAACATTTTGTTTAAAATAATAATGAAATTTAAATTTTATTTTACTCATTAGTTTCATTATTAAATATTATCTAAAAAATATTTTTAGACACCTGACGGTTTAATTCCCTTAAGTGTGTGGTACGCGATTATAGAAGCGGAGGATACAAAATCATATGCGCTTAAAGTCAATTATAAATTAACTCGCGATCATGTAGAACCAAAATACTACCAAAAAATGAATGTCGCTTTGGTATTTCAGGTGACGTTGCTCAAGAAAGTTATTTTTTGTATTTATTGTTTACTTATGTTATGTTAATTTTTAATTACTTCAGTTTTTTGGTATTGCTGATGTTTTGGAAGTGATGCAAGACAAGCATCCAGATCTAGAAGAATTGGAATCCACAAAAACGTTTTGTTGGAAAATGAAAGGTCTTCTCGATGCAATGAACAGTAAGCATGCGTTTGCTGGATTGATACCGAATAATAACGCATATAATGTAAATAATTTTTTCATTCCAATAAAATTTTTTAATATAAATATTTCTTATATAAATATATATGGAAAATAAGAAAACATTTTTTTTTATTTTTTTATTTCATAAAAATTAAAGAAGTTATGATTTTTTAAAATTTTACGTCATCGAAGACAGTGCATTTTTGAATATGTTCAATTTTTTCAAGTTTTGCAAATATATGCTGAAAAATAACGTACCTATAATGAAAGTAACAAATAATTTGAAATTAAATTTAAAAAAATGAGTTTTCTCAAAGAGGGACAATTTAGATTTTTTATTTGCTTTGCAATATCTAATGACAACAATTTTTCACCTATATACAAAAATAGATGTTTTTAGCTTACTTAGTACAGCTCACCGAATTTAAAGAAATTATTCTACAAATATATTTCTTCCAATACAATTCATTTTTTTTTACTTTCAAAAAATACATACTATAAATATTTAAGTTAATTTGAGTTAATTTAAGTTAATTTAAGTATTTAAAAACTAAAAAAAAAATTTGTAGATATGATTAAAAATTTTTTTATTCATCAGAGATTTCAATAAAAAAAATTAAACCAAATGATTATATTTATGAGAAACTCACTTTTTTAATTTACTTTTATTTTTTCTGTTGCTTCCGCTAATATGTACGTTATTTTTTTTACATATTTGAAAAATTTAAACAAATTTAATATACAGCATAATTTTTTTTTTCATTAGTAAAATAGATAAAAAAAATTTCTAAAATAATTTTTTATATATTTTTTTAATTATTAATAGAACATAAAAAATTTTTTGGAATATCTTGAAAAATGGAGAACGGGTGCTATACAAAATGGATATGAATTCATGCCAGAGAGTACATACTTTGGTTTAAAAATATCACTACAAGCAACGCTCGAATTGAGTGAATATTTAACAAAAAATTGTGGATTTTCATACATTTTGACTGCACGTCTCAATCAGGATGCCTTAGAAGTACGTTAGAATTAAACATTATAAATTAGTTAATAAAAATGTGAATAATTTCAATTATTACAATTCTTATATAATTTATTTCTGTTTTTTTGTAGCGATTCTTTGGAATGATGAGAGAATCTTGTGGGGCTAATGATTACCCTGATTCACACCTTTTCATTCAAATGTATAGGCTAATCTCAACCTATTCACTTGTTCAATCTCCAAGAGGTTCTAATATTTCCAACTCGGAAATCTTTGATGTCCTCCTTAAGATAAAGGATATCGATGATGCTGAGGAGCGAAATGAACAATGGCATGCTCAATTGAACACAATTTTAGATAGAGGCTGCACTGAAATGTTTGTCGAAGCTTCTTCCCTTCAAAAAGAACATGATTACTGTAGTTCCGAAATTTCAACATACGCTATTACTTATGTTTCAGGATATGTAGCTCGCAAAGCTGCAAACAGATTTGCAAAATTCGTGTCCGATAAGAAACAATTTACTTGTCAGAACTGCGTGTAAACATTGGAATTGTCATCAAATGAATTAATTCCAGAAAGCCACAAACTAATTGAAGTAAAATCAAAAGGATATTTAAAGCATCAGTCTAACAAATTGACATCAATCATAACAGCCGTTGAGAATGCTTTGTTGTCTGTTCTCAAATCTAAAAAAATTGATTCAGAGATAATTTTTGATATAACAAACCAATTAGAAAAAAAGTTCTTTGCATAAATTGGGATGTTCAGAACATGATTTACAATTGACGCATCGCATTATCACGTTCTACTTGACAACCAGAATGTATTTCGTTGCCAAGCAATCCACGAAAAACAATATTCAAAAAAATCAAGTGAAAGAAAAAAGAAAGGCTGCTAAATTGATAAATGAATCAGCATTAACACAGGAACCTCAAATAGTATTGAAACGTTGATGTAAATTAAATTTCTTTTAAATGTAAACATATGTTATACATGTAACATAGTTATACAAAATTTTATTCTTGATTAATAAATAAATTTTATTTTATTTAAAAAATTAAATATTATTACAATATTTTTTAATTCTTTGCAAATCATAAAAAAAATTATAAAATTATATACATATATATAATTTTATAATATAAAAATTACATTGTATTTAAAAAATATCAAAGTAATAAATAAAAAAATTATTAAATTAATAATAATTAATAAAACAATATCAAAAACACTATTTAAAATCTTCAACATCTTGCAAAAGATTTTCCAGATCTTCAATTTTGCTGAATTGAATGTATCTTCCGAAAGGCATTAATTTATTATCTATATAAATGTGCACACCAGATTCAGAAAATACTCCTACTCTTTTCAAAATATCACCATTGTCTTCTATTCTTATAGATCCAAAACAAGAATTATTGCCTTTTGAAGAAGACCACTTCTTTGATGTCAACTTTACTTGATACAAATTGTTTTGTAAGTATTGGAATGTTAACAAAATACTTGCTGAACTTGTCATATTTTGTTTGTTTACATGTAAATTTAACCTAAAAATAACAAAAAAATAAGAAATTTCGTTTGAAATATATACGGCTACAATGAAAAAAAATTATTTATATTTTTTATATAACTTACAACAAATTATTTAAATTCCTTTATTATTTCATTATGAAACATAATTGAAAACAAATATTTTAAAAATCTAAATTATATATTCGTATATAAATAAGCAAAAACTTACCAATTTTCAAATATATTTCCCAAAAAAATTAATGTTTTATTTAAAATTTTTGTGTGTAACTTTTTTCTTTCTTTACACTTTTTCTAAACTTATTATATATATATATATACTTTACACTGTTTACTATATGAGAACAGCTGTTACTAGGCGCAGTCATATTTTGAAAACTTAAAAGTACACCGCTTTTCCGCTAGAGGCGTCATAATCGCCCACATAGCATAACTTTTTGCAGCAATTTTGCAGCAAATTTGCAATGCCAAATTATAAGTTTACAATGTAAATTTGCTGCAAAATTGTGGCAAATAGCTATATGTCCTCGCTTTGCAAGTTTGCAGAAAAATTTCTCAGAAAAATTGCAGGAAAAATTTATGACAAATTTTAAGAAAAATTGCAGGAAAATTTTATGACAAATTTTAAGAAAACTTGCGGAAATTTTTCGACAAAAATTAAAAAATGTTACTGTTGTAAATATGATGATATTTTGTTACTGCAAACCTTTCCCAAAGGAAAGGCGACTAAAATCTATTGCGCAGCCCTAAGTGCCATAGAAAACTACTGCGCATGACATGAACTTGAGCAAATTATCAGCGTGGACATATAGCTATTTGCCACAGTTTTGCAGCAAATTTACATTGCAAACTAACAAATTTGGCATTGTAAACTTGCTGAAGAATTGCTGCAAATTGTTGTGCTATCTGGGCGGAGATATGTAATTTCGGATTTATTCTCATGCAGGGGGCCCATATGCTTAACAAGCAGTGAGTGCTCCTTATACTACTTCATGTCTACGGCAAAAATCTTATAAGAATCGGCTATAACATTTTAGTCAACAAAATTTTGTCGGCCTGTGTAATCAGCGACCACGAAAACTCCCAAGTAACGAGTTTCAAGCGAATATGATGATTTTTAAAAATTTTGGTCGTCATATTGGATACGCCATTTTGTGTTTTAAAAATCTGACATGAAATTCGGATTTAGCGACCCCAATAACATTTAGTTTTATTAAGTTATATTTCTATTGGAAACTTTATTTTCTATTGTTACTGTTTTTGACTCAAAACTGATTTGTATACCAAATTTTGAAGGGGTTAATATAAATTTTACAATAAATAATTATTAGGATTCCATAGTTTGGACATTTCTGAAGAGAAATATCCTTTGTCGATCTTTATTTTTAACATAGAACAATTTTAGAGGGTGTCCTATTAAATTTTTAGTAGGTACTTCGATTTTTGTGGACCACCCTAATATAAAACAATTAAAAAATTAGAAAACTAAATTACATTTATAAAATGGAATAATACTGTATAAAAAAACTAATAGCAAGAGAAGATTCTTCTTTATAAAACGAGAAAATGTTACATAAACAGTTAATTCCTTTGCAGTCTGGTAAGATATTGTTTTTAGGTAAAAAAATATGATTAATTCGTTTCGCGTAATTTTCGCATAAAGATAATGTAAATAGAGTATAAAATAAAACTAATCTTTGTCTCTTTTTAGTCACGCATGCGCGATAGCTAAAAAGTTGCATCGCTTCGTCCTACAAGGAACGTTCAACAAATGATCTCTTCATTGTTTCTAGGATTTTGTTTATTGCATCATTATGTATTTCATCATTTTGTACGAAATAAACGAAAAAAAAATCCAAAGCGAAGGAACAAGTTCTTATTGGATCACAGAAGTTAAGCAACGTTGGACGCGTTTAATACTTGGATGGATGACCACTTTCATTGACATTCGATGAAATGTTTTTTAGTAAAATTTAAATTAGGTATTTAGTATTTGGCAGAAGTAAATATGTTATTATCGCAACCCAATATTTTATTTACCCGAAGTACCAAAAAGTATTCAATCAAGAATATTATGTTCTTAAGCAAGATAATAAAATATTGTTTGAAGAATTTTCATTTCTTGAATAAAATAGTTTTATTCATTTGCTTTGAATTAAATTTTTACTTAATACAAATCCCGTATTCTTGATCCAAGAAAATATTTTTCTCCAAATGAATATGAAACTTAAATAGGAGTTTTTGAAAACCGTCAATTGAATCAGGATGACATAGTGGTCTACGTTACTGCCTCTGGTGCGCGCAACCCAGGTTCAAGTCCTCTGACCGTGAAAAATTTTCATTCAAGGTATACTTGTTTTAATAATTGTGTTAAGTCTTTTAATTAACCTTTTACATAACATTTTTTTAAAATTATTATTTCCAAAACGAAGCAAAACACCTTCGTAAGATTTTAATAGAAGGTAAAGAATATTATAAAAAATCTTTGTGCAAAACCTCAATTTTTTCGGAGCACCGACAAAAAAGTTATAAGTAAATAAAAATCTTGAGAATATTTAAATAAAATTTTTTTTTAAATCGTATATCATTCAGAAATAATAAATTTTTCAATAATTCTTTCGTTCCTCTGTGCAGAATAAAGTGATTTATGTTTTTGGTAAGTTCCAACATCTAATTTTTAATAGTTTTTTAATAATAGCGTTTTTAAAAAAATTGAAAAATTTAAGGTTACAAAATCACATTGAGAACCTCCTACTTTTGATATTTAATATTTTTAAAGGGAATAAAATTTTTACCATAATATTATGGTTAATGAACTCAAGGAATCATCGAGTTTCACTTATATTAAAACTAGATTTTTTAAAAATTTGGTCGCAACCACTATTAGACGAATGTCAGTGGACTGACCCACATATGATCTTGACTTAATATATTTTACATTTCTTAGAAGTCAATTAACTTTTTAGACGAATTCCATATTTTCTTGGATTAAGAACATGTGTTCTTCTTTCAAATATACTGCACCAAGTAAATGGTTTTCTTGAAACAATAGCATAATTGACTTGACCGTATTCAATCCCATGATTTTCTTGAACCAAGTAAAATTTTCTTGGTTCAATACTATTTTTTTCAGTGTAAAGGGGACACAATTTAGAGTTTGTTCCATAATAGAGTTCGTTCTCTTTTGAGACCTAAAGGCAAGAATCTTTTTATTGATTGCGAGATTCGAGAGATCTAGGGACGACGCAATCCTTTTTTTTGTCTATTGTCCTCTTTGGTTGTCCAGGGTCGTCTCTTGGATCTTGTATCGATCGCATTGTTCTGTTAATTCGTCTGTCGATTTATTAACTTTCTTCAAGACATATAATTTACAAATGACATTTGTTATAATTTGTATTAAGGTTAAAAAATATTAATTTACGCTTCTAAATATAAATAAAATTACGTGGATTTTTCTAAAAGGGAAAAAAGTTACATTATTTAAATTGTTTAAAGAAAAATGTGGTTATAATATAACAGAAATTCAGTAGAATTTTTGATTTTTGTCAATTTGGTTAATAAAAACAAGTTGTCCCCATTTACCCTAAGAATTTGAAAACTCGTTGTAAATGGGGTCAGCTTGTTATTATTAACCAAATTGACAAAAATAAAAAAATTCAAGTGAATTTCTGTTATGGGAGTCATAAAGAGTAAGAAAAAATTTTTGTATGATTTTTAAGTCTGTTTTCTTTGAAATGCAAGACAAAATACTGAAACAGTTTGACTTTGATTTTTAAGTTTTTATGCATTGAGCGATTAATTGAATTATCTTGCTGACAATTGTCAAAATAAAAGCGTGACAATACTCAGAACCTCTTGTAGGTGATCTGAGGTTAAAATATTGACGTTGAACTTCATTTTAAAACTGTACGTTAAGCTCCAACACCTACTGTCCCCATTTATCCCCTATCCCCATATACCCCGCAACTGACCCTATATTAATAAATTTATATCTATTAATTTAAAAATGAATTTAATGTAATAAAAAATAAAATAAATAAGTAAATGATTAATTCAAAAATAACTGAAAATTGCATTTAAATTAAAATCAAAATTAAAAATGAATTTAATTTAATAAATAAAATAGTCATTTAATTACAACGAATTCTTTCGTTTGTCTTCTCATGCAAAATTTTGCGATTTTATTTGCTTAGATTCCTGACTTGACGTTAGTTGCGCTTTTTTGTCGTCTCTTTAAATCACTGGCCGTCTCTTTCAATACTTTGTTATTTAATTGTCACTAGATCTCTCGGATCTCAGTAAATAGTCCCTCGCCTAAAGGGATAATTTTTTTTTTTAATTGTAGGTCTCACAGGCGGAAAAATGATGAGAGTTCTTTGAGTCATATTAATAAAACTTAACTATTTTCTTTGTATTTAAAAAATTTTTTTAAATCGTTTTTTGTCCATAAACTTTCTTACTTTAAAATTATCTTAAAGAAAATTTAAAAACGAATTAATTGAAATATTATTGAAACTTTTATTATAAAATATTACGAAGTTATTGATGTTAAAAATCTATATCTGCAAAAGTTCAAAAAATACAACTTAACACCTTTATAAAATTATTATAATACTAATAATAAACTACACGAAAAATCGCAATGAAGAAGCAGTGTTCAAAAATGAACACAAAAAATTTATACTTCATCTAGGCACCGATTTTTAATGTAATCTCCAAATAGAAGACTCAGGTTAAGTCCGCAATGGACCATGATTTTCTCGGAGGTGCATTGCTTAAAATACATAAAAAAATCTTGTACTATGAATCACTTAAAAAATCAATGCCCCCTGTGAAGTCTGTACGAAAGGTAAAATTAAAGGACAACTTTTTACTACAAGCACATTAATTGTAATTGAAGTGAATTTTGAATGTTTACAAACCTCTCAATTCAGTAAAACTAATTTTATAAAAATTCCAAGTGACAGCAGCCGGATCTATCCTCCCGACAATATATTTACAGCTATACTATCCGGCTAGCCGGATCTTCAATTTGATAACAAAATCATGCCAGATTGTCTTTAACAATTAATAGAGATTATTGTTACTTCGTTTGAGAAAATCAAAGTAAGCACTTAATATCCATTTGAAGATTCTCACAAACAAAAATCACTTTATTCTATGATAACAAAAACAATTCATCCAATTAAAAAATTATTATATACCGATTTTTCACTTTTTCACTGAACAAATTTCATAGATTTAAAACAATTATTTCTTTTGAATTAAGGTTATACTTATGTCAGACAATACTTTCTTGAAATATAGATAAGTTTTGTTATGAATATTGTTTGTCAACTATTATCAAAAAGATAAGCCAACAAAGACTTACCCTTAATAGGGTTGAACGAGTAGCACGATGTAAGGCCAGTACACAGTAAAATCCTAAAGGTTCATTTGCACAGGCCTCAGTCACGTACGTAATCAGTGATGGGTACGTATAATACATGACGTATAATACGTGGTTTTCTACGTGTATAATACTAAGTATATTACGTGCCAAGTTTTCTACACGATGTATATTACATTTGATCACGTGATTTAAGAGCGACAATTTTAAATTCTTCATTAAAATACATCATTCATTACACTTTCCCAGGGTAAACCCTCTTTAAAAGATTTTCTTTTACTTTTTCTGACCATTTCTATTTTATTTTAAGACTTTAATTTAAATAGAATGATAAGAAAAATTCGTTATGGCAAAAATCAGAGGATCATATATAGATGTCAAAATGTCAGTCGTTTTCTACATGGTTTTATACATTTTATACGTATATTACGTCGAAAACGTATTATATGTACAAAACTTCGTGTGACGCGTCACAACCCATCACTGTACGTAATATACCTGACGTAAATTACATAGTTTTTGTTACATGTATATTACGTAGGCTATTTATACGTGTATTTTATACAGTAATTTACCTTTTCAAAAAGGCGGAAGTCGGCGAAATGCTTTTTGGAACAAATTGTTGTTTACTGATAAATAAAATAATAATTTTTCTTTAGATTAAGAAGGTTCAACCCATTAACATAACCTCAAACTAAAAAGTAGTTTTTAACAAAACTAAAAATATATTTAAAATTTATTATACACAAATTCGACAGATCCAATTGTACAATTTTGAAAAAAAATTATTTTTAGTTAAAATTTGTTGTTAATTAATAATTAATAAACATTTTGTATTTTTTCTTAAAAGTTAATGAACAATTGTAATTTTTATGCAATTCTTACAAACATTAGCAGGGTGTCTAACAAGGATTGAGAAAAAAATTCCCTGACTCCTACCTGACGTTTATTTATTTTTCCCTGACTTTTTAATAACCTTATTTCTGCTTTCTTTAGACAAAAATATGGTTACTGACATATTTAACAATAAATTAGTTTCTAATGGTAGTAACAAATGGTAATAAAAAGTAAAAACCATTCAAGTTTTTTTAGATTAAAAAATTTTTAAATTCACAAAAAATTTTAATTTTTGTAGAAATTTACAGAAATTTCCCTGACTTTGAATGAAATTTTCTGAAATTCCCTGACTTTGCCGTGACCGTTAGACACCCTGATTAGCTCATTTTGCTCTTTGAAAGATTTTCTGCAATTCTGCTTGTTGAATTTTATTAAAAATATTTTGTTCAAAAGTTAATCCCGGACAGCACCGAAACTTCCCTGAACCTTGACTGAACCTCGCTTGGCGAGGTTCGGGAACTTGAGTCACGAGGTCCAAACGAGGTTGAGTTGATGTTTAAATGTCCGCGCATTATAAAGGTCAGTCACAGAGGTTGGCTGAATATTGGATTTGAATTTATGTTAAATATTAAAATTAAAGATTCTTGGCATATTGTGAGGGGATATTTAAGGAAATTAAAAATTCAAGATTTGTTAAATGTAATATCTTAAATATTCTGGAAATTTAGAAGGAGCATAAATACGGAAAAATAAAAAGAAAGCAAATGAATTTAAAAAACTATTAAAAATTGCATTTTCTATGACATAGGAAAGCGTAAATAAAACAGAAATTAATAGACATTCATAAATACAGTTATATTTATTAGTAATAAATTGTTATTACATTAAATTACAAATTGTGTTTAACTCTTTTGACAAGAAATATTTTCAAATAGAAATAGAAATAGAAACTCAAATAAATGAACGATTTACTTAAAAAGAAAATTTTGTACTATAGACAAAAAAAAATGCATTTTCGTAATGATTTACTCAGAAAATTCTTTTGGGTGAATTTTTTTTGGCTCAATAAAATTATTGTTGATAATATTTACTAGGATTTCTGCCAAAAAAAAATTCTGATAACCCGTTTTAATAAAATTTGCATTTAATTTTAATTTTAATTTTTTATTAGCACATGAAATGTGCCTGCAGACTCTCAAAAAAACCTTTAAAAATTTAATTTTTATGTAACTACTAATAACAGGGTGTCTAACGGTCAGGGAAAGTCAGGGAAACGTCAGGGAATTTTGTTGGTCAGGGAAATGTCAGGGAAAAGTCAGGGAATTTCAAAAAATTTCATTCAAAGTCAGGGAAATTTCTGTAAATTTCTACAAAAATTAAAATTTTTTGTGAATTTAAAAAATTTTTAATCTAAAAAAACTTGAATGGTTTTTATTACCATTTGTTACTACCATTAGAAATTAATTTATTGTTAAATATGTCAGTAACCATATTTTTGTCTAAAGAAAGCAGAAATAAGGTTATTAAAAAGTCAGGGAGAAGTCATGGAAAAGTCAGGGAATTTTTTTTTCAATCCTTGTTAGACACCCTGAATAAATATAACTGTATTTATGATTGTCTATTAATTTCTGATTTATTTACGCTTTCCCATGTCATAGAAAATGCAATTTTCAATAGTTTTTTAAATTTATTATGCTTTCTTTTTATTTTTCTGTATTTATGCTCCTTCTAAATTTCCAGAATATTTAACGATTACATTTAACAAATCTTGAATTTTTAATTTCCTTAAATATCCCCTCACAATATGCCAAGAATCTTTAATTTTAATATTTAACATAAATTCAAATCCAATATTCAGCCAACCTCTGTGACTGACCTTTATAATGCGCGGACATTTAAACATCAACTCAACCTCGTTTGGACCTCGCGACTCAAGTTCCTGAACCTCGCCAAGCGAGGTTCAGTCAAGGTTCAGGGAAGTTTCGGTGCTGTCCAAGAACAAATAAAATTTTTATTTTTTTTAAACAAACCATTATTTAACAAAAACACAAAATCAGAATTGTATAGAATCTTTCAAAGAGAGAAATGAGCCATTGTTTATAAAAATTGGATAAAGATTAGAATTGTTCACTAACTTTTAAGAAAAAATACAAAATATTTATTAATTATTATTTAACTACAAATTTTAACTCAAAAAAGGAATTTAAAGATAAGATCTTCAAGATTGTGTTAAAAATTTGAAAACTTAAAAAATGTTTTTCAGGGTCTGAAATATGTTAAAAAATGTTTGAGCATGTTTTTCTTAGCAGCGAGGCGGCGAAAAGTGATGATCGACGGCTGAGTTGTAGAATAACATGTTCGGACGTTTTTTAACATATTTTTTTTAAAAAAATGACATAAATTTTTAATTAGAGATAACTCAAAAAGTTTTGAAAATTTTGAAAAATTGTTTGTGGGCTTTCATTCTGTACAAATAAAGGAACATATTCTCAAGGTTTCAATAAAATTGCTCCAATCATTAAAAATTCTTCTGATCACATCCCATGGAATTGCTCTACTGTAAACGGAGTAATATTTTTTAAATGAAAAGGTTAAAGTTAAAAGTACAACAAAATAAGAAATTTTCAATAAAATTTTACTAGAAATAATTCAAGTACATATATAGTGTCATCATACCACAAATTGTGTAATGTAAAAACCTATAGGTACTGAAAGTATATTTAATTTTTGGTTAACAATTTTTACCTAAAATTTTTGTTTATAAAATTGGAAAACATTCGATTAATCTTATTGTACATACAATAATAATTATAATTATCATTAATTTATTTACATTTCAGTGTAATCTGAATAAATTATTCATATAAAGAGTAATATTTAGTTAGAATAATAATTTTAAAAAAGTCTTTCTTTGTTTTTCTTATATTTCAAAAATGTTAAAATGAAAATTATTCTAAAAATATTATATAAACATTTTTATAAAGGAAAGAAATCAATATAAACAATTCAATAAAAATTGTGTACGTAAATTAAAAAAACAACTTTATACAAATTGATTTGAAATTTCTTTCTACACATTTACACTACATTTTAATTTACATATGGAAATTTCTTTATAATTAAAATTTTTTTACTTTTTAAGTAAATGTTTCATATCTTTATTTTGTTTATTTAACATAATATCTGCCTTTTCCGTTTTATCATCAATATTATCAATGAGATCATTCTGCGAGTCAATTTCCTCGGAAAGTCCAATTGCCAAACCTTTAAGTCTAGCGAGTGAGCCACTCATTTCGTCCAGGTTTCTTTCTAATGCTGCACTCACGTTATTTGTTGCGGATTTATTGAAAGATTCTTCATCAGAAAGACCACGAAGTCTGAAGATTGGATGCTCACCCTCTGATAAATGATTTCGTGTTTGTTCTAAAGAATTTGTCAAATTCGAAGATGAAGAAATAGCCTGGGAACTATGAGATTCCGGAATTGTACTAGTAACTGAAGAAGCTGGTACATCAATTGACTTTCCGCTAAGATAATTTTTTAAACTCCCAAAGACACTCTTTATTCCCTGAATATGTTTTTGACTAAAACGCAAGGTTGTATTTATATCATCTAATCGCTTCTCAGTCCGTTCGAGTTGCTCTCGTTGTCTTATTAATTCCTGCAAAGAAATTAAATTTTTATTACAAGAATAAAAGGGGACGCATGAATAAGTTCTAAAATTTTTTTTTAAGAATTATGATTTTCTAGAATCTTATTCTGTAGAATCAAAATTTTCAATCAAAAATCAACTAAAATTGAATTATTTTCAAAAATTTGAATTTTGAAGCTTCTAAAATTTAATTATTTCTAAAATTTTCCATCGAAACTTTTTTAAAATTTAACAATTTTAATTATAACTCTAAGAAAATTCAATTATTTTTAACTATTTTTATAATATTCTTTGAAAATTCAACAATCTGAAACCATTTTTTAATTAAAAATGGTTTTCAAATTATTGTATTTTTTGTTCAATTAATTTCAAAAATCTCAATTGTAAATCTTTGAAAATTCAATTACATTTAAAAAATGTTATCTGAAATTATTTGATAAATTATTTTTAGTTCTTGTAAAATTTAATTATTGTCTGAAAATTAACAAAATCTTTTAAAATTCAATTATTTCTAAAAATTTTAACTTTAACCCTTCCAAAAGTATTATTATTTTTAAAAAAATTTTATTTAAAAATCTGTAAAATATTTTTGTTAAAATAAAAAAAATCGACTTTTTTGGAATATAAATCGACTAAAACGACTTTTTTTATGCCTTTAACTCGATCCGAGTCCTGCAGGCGGAGGAAGATCAACTTTTATTTCAAAAAGTCCATACATGCATTTCTACATTCATATCGCTTATTGTCCCATTCAAAAAAACAATAAGATTCAGAGCATATTTAGAAAAGACGTCAGATCCAGAGATAATGTAGAAAAGACGTAACTCTCAAATTTAGGATTTTCAAAAAATTCAACTGTTTCAAACAATACTTTCTTTTCATTTTTCATAGTGAAATATGATTCCAGGTTCTAAAAATTTATTTTTTTTAATTCTTATCCTTAAACAAAACCAATTATGTTTGGTTTAAATTTTATCAAATATTTCTTAAAAATTCAACCTCTTCCACAATTTTTATAATTTTTTATCAGCAATTTTTTGTAGACTTTTTTTATGATTCTGAAAAATCAATCGTGCGCATTTTTAAAATGTTTAATATTTTCAAAAAATAAAAATAATGTTGAACAAGTATTAAGTTACAAAAAATTTAAAAAAAATGGTGCAGATAGTTTGCCTATGTACAGTTTACTTTTTAGGGTATTATTTTGTAGTATTTAATTATGTTGAGAAAAAATTTGCATTTTTAATTAATTTTATTTCTTTTTTAATGATTAGTTATCAAAGTGCATATAAAATGTTTTTCTTTCTGTAATTTAAATATTTTAAGGGGAGGGACCGGTTGTTAAGAGTTGTCAATTTTTTTCTGGCCTTATTTGGGATCTAAAATTATTGTGAATTATAGGGTAAAGTACATCAATTACGGCGCGTTCATAAAAAATAACTATTATATTTAATATAACTGTTGCAAAATGATTTAAAAAAATTATTTTAACCTTTTTTTGATACAATTACTAATAAAAATGTACATTTAAACAATTATTAATTTAATTATTTAAGATCAACTTTTTTCCTCGCCGTAATTGAAACATTTTTAAGATTTCCATGGGCTCCAATTACGGTGGTCAAAGAATCTTCAAAATACAGTAGGACTCCGGTTATCCGAGCTAATGTAGATCGGACCTACCTCGGATAAGGCGAAAACTCGGATAATCCGAATTGTTAAATATTTATTACAATTTAACATTATTATTATTTAATACAAACGGGAAAATAATATTGTAAATATTCCATAATAATTTAAACAATTTGAATTTATTAAAAATAAACTCATATTTATAAAAAACTAAAATTAAAAATAACTCGGATGACGCGGACTAGACTCGGATAATGCAGAATTTCCTACTGGGACACCACCTCGGATAATCGAGACCTCGGATAAACGGGGTTTTACTGTACACGTAATTTTGGTCACCGTAATTGATACAAATGCACCGTAATTAATTACATTAAGTTTTAAATTGACTTTATACAATAGAAATATCGAATTTTCTATTTCAAAAGTGTTTTGACTCGAATCGCGCCGTAATTAGTGCATTTACCATATCAAAAATAAAAAAAAAAATTTGATCATTTTAGAAATTTTATTTTTTGAAAATATTAATATTTTTAAAAATCCATATGATTGATTTTTCAGAATTATAAAAAAGACTACAAAAAATTGCTGATAAAAAATTATAAAAATTGTGGAAGAGGTTGAATTTTTAAGGAATATTTGATAAAATTTAAACCAAACATAATTGGTTTTGTTTAGGGATAAGAATTAAAAAAAATAAATTTTTAGAACCTGGAATCATATTTCACTATGAAAAATGAAAAAAAGTATTTTATAACAATTTTTTTTTCGTTTTTCAGAAATCTGCAATGAAAAATACAAAAAATTGCGATAGAAGTTTAAATGTTTAGTTTTTGAAAATTTCGAGTTTTATTTAAAAAGTTATTAATGAATTAATTGCTTTTCTATTTCCCATAGTATATTTAATACTTAATATTGTCAGAAAAAAAATTAACAACCTTAGTTTCGAAAGGTTGAAATTTCAGCGGTCCCTCCCCTTAAAATCGTTACCGCTTTAGAAAATTTTAATATTAATTTTTTAACTAAATTTTCATTTAATAAGACTTAAAAAAAGAAAACAAATAGAAACATTAAATTAAGTACATAAATACAGTTCTCTAAGAAACAACAATCGCAGTGGAAATAAAAGTAAGCAAGAAAAAAATATATGAATAGCCTTAATTTGTTTGACATGTCTTTGTCACGTATTGACAAATTAGTATGAAAACTTAATTGAAATATTTTACCTCAGCTGTAGCAGCTCCAATTTCTTCAGAGTCTCTTAATAGAGAAATTGAACGCTCTGAAGATTTAACAGTTCTTTGCTCAATTTCATTTCTTCTTGAAACTAAATCTTGATGTTTTTCTTCAATTTCATTGTTCCTGTTAGAATGATTATTAGAATTATATGAATTGTAAACTGGAGAGACAGCAGGTCTTCGAGGTGCACTTTTAATAAATGTTTCGTCATCCACGTCATTCTCTAATGAGAAAAAGGGATTTTTAGGATCACTTAGATAATTATGACCAGCCATAATTGTACTTTTAAACCAATTAGCTAATTATAAACGTAGAATTTGTTTTTTAAACAAAAATAATATTTAAACACTCAGTCCAAGTAAAACCTGGAAACGAAAGTGTATAAGACAGACCTGTTAGTAGAACATTCTAAATATGATACGTCATTGGATGTTTTCGAAAGTTGCTGTGAGTATACTGTCAGTATATTGTGATTGGCTGATCCATCAGCATGTTTATCTTGATTGGGTAATTCTTTTACTGTCAGTATAAGACAACTCCTGACGTCACAATTGTTTTTCCATGCGAAAAAAGGACTGTACATTACACTTTTTGTCCTTTTTTAACGCATATGTTACCATGACAATATGTGGTGCAATTAAGTGGTGCACAAACAACCATTTGAAAGTATGGGACGAAATCGAATTTTTTTAATATCTCGCTTAAATGAAATTTTGGAACCAAAGTATAGTAGGATTTAGTTTCTATTTTTAATGACCTATTTAATACAATAATAAAATTTATTAAAAAATAAGATCGTTTCTTATTGTATTAAATAGGTCATTAAAAATAGAAACTAAAATACTAATAAACTTAGGTTCCAAAATTTTATTTCAAATGTTTGCTTTTGCACCACTTAATCGCCATTTTGGATTTCCCGCACCCAACTAGGCTGTGTCCTGTGTCAGTTCATCGAGATATTTCGAGTTCAAGATATGACGTCAGAGGCCTGGAGGGACAACAAACAGACGACACAATGTTATTCTTATGGGAAAGAAAATTTGTTTCCACTTTCATCAATTTTATTCATATTTTAAACATAGAAAACGCTTGTTGACATATAATAAAATTAAAATGTGTGTTGATAATTAATTTTATTATACATTTCCCCACTGAAAATTCCCACATAGGCTCCCACATGGGAAACCACATGGGTCCCTATATAGGAAGCCATATGATTTCCTATATAAAATCATATACGTAATTGGAACAGGAATTTGAATAGGAAATTAAGTCGGAATTATCATATGAATCCACATCCACACAGGAATGTACATTCCTATGTATATTCCTATTTCAATTCCTATAATATGAATTTTTTTTGCAACTCTAAGATATATATCTTTCAATAGTAGAGGTTCCTGATAGACTACAGAGATGAAAAAAATTTATTGCGCAGCCGAAAAAGTTGAAGAAAACTACTGCGCATGATATTAAGATGTAATGTGCATTCATATGATAATTCCTACTTAATTTCCTATTCAAATTTTCAGTAGGGTAGATTCAATTCCATAGATAGATTCTCTGAATTCGTGATAAAATATAAATTTTGAGGTTATGGGTGTTTGTTTACTAATCACATTTTACATTTTAACAACATTATTAAACAATATCCAGTATGCATGTTATTAAAAAAGATATAAAATATATATTTTAAGTGGGAATTACCGCAGCAGTAAAAGATTTCAAGTTAATAAACAAACACCCCTAACCTAGCGAGGCTACCTGTCTATCGTAATATAACGTATAAGAGTGAGAGAAATAAAAAATGTTTTTATTTTTCTCACTCTTATACGTTATATTACATGATAGACAGGTAGCCTCGCTATCTACCGAGATGTGACCGTACCCTAATGAAAATACATTTTCAACGTTGTGAAAATTCTCCTTGTCCATAAATTTTGAAGTGTGTAAGCGCCTTTAATATTATGGTTCGAACGCTGTTGTGTAAACACAGCTTGAAAGCATCAACACAAAAATAAAGTTGTTGTAGAACCAGCTATAGACGAATCACATGTCGGAGGTTCTACTCATCTGGATTTGTTTATAATTTGAATCTACATTGCTGTTTACATTGCATGTCATTTGTTTGTAAATTGAGCAAAAATAATTTTATAGCAAAATAAGTGGAAATGGAAGGCTTAGAAAAGCCTCAGATTATTTGTCACATTGAGAAATCAGTGGAATATTCCCTTTTTGATGCTAAATGGATTCCTTCTAGTGCTAAATTTGTAACCTTAGGATCAAAACCTCGTGGTGCGGGTATTATACAAATTTATGAAATTACCAATGGCGAACTAAAAGTAATTAAAGATATCGAACGACCAACGCCTATTAAATGTGGTACTTTTAAAGCATCCGATCATCGTAATCGACATTTTGCAACGGGAGATTTTAAGGTTAGTTCACTAATCTTGTATAGGTATACAGGTCCCGAAACTCGCATACATTGGATGAACATCAAATAGCGTGATCAAATGTTTCTCGTAAAGGCCGCAATAGAGATGTGGGCGAAATGATCGAGTAGTTTATGGTTCAAATGTAAAATGAACTTTTACATGGGGGATAACACACTATTGTTTGAAAAAATAAGGAGTTTCACGTGTTTTTTTTATTCGATTCATTAAAGTTTTATTGCCTTTTATCAAAAGTATATGTTTCGATAAACTTGTAGGTAATTTTTAAATTAAAAATGTTTAAAATTGTAAAAACTGCAACAGTTACACCGAAAAAAGTTTTTTTTCATTCGTCTGCGGTGACTACGATAAATTAGAAAGAAAGAGGTTAAGTAAAATACAAAAACAAACTATTCCGGTAAGAAGGGAATAATTGAAAAGAATTCAGAGTTCCAATTCTTTTGAATGGGTGAATTTACGTTTTTATTCAATTCCTCGATGAAGCAAAAAAAAGTAGAAAAATCTATTCTTCCTAATTGACTTAGTCAAAATTTATACTCTAAATTATACATATAACCTGACGCAGTCAATTGTAAAACATAGAAATGCCTCATTTATTCACCACATTTTCTATTCCTCTAAATGCGTTCCAAATGGCCTGAGCTATAGTCAATTTATAAAAATAACCACATGTACATCACTTTTCAAATTTCTTATTCCTTTTAATACACTTTGGAAATTTTGAAGATGGCGATTGAAAGGAATAAACATTTAGAATTTACTCTCCAAAAATTTAATTTTTTTCTATTCGCTTCCAAAAAGTTTGAAAATAAAAAACTTTGCGCATTAACAAAAATAGGAAGTTTGAATTCTTTTTTATTGACTTATATGTACTGGGAATAGAAAAGAATTCATTTTTTTGATAATTAGATGTTCATTGGGGAATTGGGCAAAAACGTAAATTCGCCTATTCAGAATAATTGAAAATGATCAACTTATGCTTAACATATGCAAAATTTCAATCTTTCTCTATTTCTCGCTTCTTACCGGGATGTTACCTCGTTCGTGAACGAAGGATTTAACAAAAACAAAATTATTTGTGGAAATAATGAAATTGAGTTTTTAGGGATTTAAAAATTAAAAATGAAATTAAAAAATCATCACCATATTTCCAGAAAAAATATTTCTTTCAAATTCCTTCGATCACAAACGAGGTAACTTAGTATATGTATAAAATTTTAAATAGTTTTAAATTTGAGTTAACTTTTTTCTAATAATATATTGAAGTCATCGTAAATAACTATGATAAAAAAACATTTTCGGTGCAACTGCTGTATAGTTTTCACAATTTTCAATATTTTTTAATTAAAAAGTATCTAGAAATTTATCGAAATTAAAAAGCTATTAGTGAGCGAATATTTATAGATGTGTCAAGAAACTTTAAACAGTGGTTTCTTTTTGTATGGAATAAAAATTGTAATAATTTAATAATAATTTTATTCAACAATTATTCCAATTTAATAGAAATATACATAATCTTTTCTTTTAATTTTGTCGTTGAAATCAAATTTTTAAAATCGAATTTTTTGTAGATACATAATTTTGTATTATAAATTATACATATTATTTTATCCTTTAAATCACATTTTAAAATCACAGTATGTTTATTTCTAATTATGTTAAAATAAATTTTAGTTAATTTATAATTTTGTATTTGTTGTGGTTGATCTTGTAACCAAATTTTAAATTTCATAAAACACTCATATGCTTCTTGTGATGATACTAATTTCTTTTGCAAATTTTGAATTTCATCCATTACTTGCATTTTTTCGTTGTCTGAAACCTTTTCCACTGTAAGCTTCCCTTTTGTAACAAAATCTACAATATCTTTATCAGTTGAAGCTTCCCATCCACAATCATCGTCGCTTTTTTCGAACCATTGAAGAAGAACTGCTATAACCTCTTGAGCAGATGAATTCGGCATGTCGGCTCTTTGATTAATTTTATTCGCAAATTCAGAAGAAATTTCGTTTATGTTAATTTGATATTCCGATTCGTCGAAATTTTCTTGATGATTTGCCGTAGAATTTGCGACAAAATTTGTAAGGATTTGTTCACCTAAAATTGGTTTCCATACCTTTTGAAGAGTTGATTGTTAAATATCTCCCCCAAGCTTTACTGAGTATAGGAACGAATTTTTTAAAATCTAAAGACTCCAAAAATTTGAAACTATTATCTGCTTCTTCATGAATCAGCAATCTTTGCAGCAAATACTTTTTGTACAACTTCTTTGTTGCTGCTATTAAGCCTTGATTCAAGGGTTAAATCAACGTGGTAACATTCGGAGTTAGATATACCACTTCAACATTTTCATTTACAGCATTGAGTTCGTCTAAAGGTGGATGAGTTGGAGAGTGGTCAAGAACCAAAACAATTTTTCCTGATATTCCAAGTTTTATTTGGTTTCCCAACACTTGTGGAATAAAATAATCTTTGTACCTGAAAAATGAGTGACTTTAAAATTCAAGAATTGTTTATATTAAAAAATAATTTTTATTATCGAGTTCTAAATAGATAAATAAATAAATAATTAATCAATTGATTAAAATTGTTATATAAATTAGTAAAATTAATAAATAACAGTAAAAGCAGTTAAATTAATTATTAATTAATTAAATAACGAGTATTACCATTTCTGGAATATGCACCTATTCATCCAAGCTTTTTTCAAATTTGTATAAAGAACTCCAAGCTTCTTCTCAAGGTCCTTTATCGGTTGCTTTTCTTCTATAGTTCTCATTAAATTGTTTAAACATGTTGGTACAAAGAAAATCGATGACTGCCAGCAGCGTTGGAACAAAATAACGCTGTCAATCTTTCTTTATGCTCTCTTTCCAACCTGAAACATCTTCCGTAGTGATGGCAAGAGTAGAATTTTGCAAAGTTCTCCAATAAATACCCGATTCATCTGCATTGTAAATATTGTGCAAATTTAAATTTTCGGTTTCTACTTTATTCATAAAAAATGTAGAAAAATCTTTAGAAGCCTCCGGGTCATTTGACAATTTTTCTCCCGTCATTTTAGCATTAATAATGTTATGACGCAATTTAAATCTATTAAGCCAACCATTACTTGCCTTAAAAAAATATATTTTTTTTTAAATAATAAAATAAACAAAGTTTGCAATTGTAAATTAAACAAAACAATATAACGTAATATTTTTAGCTCTTTATATATCTTGTATATAGCTGTTCATGTTTATTTTCTAAAGGCAAAAGTCTTCACAACAGTACCGAGGGTGGATAAAGGGCTCCCAAGAAGGGTTGACGGGTTTTAGTGGGTCATATCCTTATTAATGCTAAAATGACGGGAGAAAAATTGTCAAATGACCCGGAGGCTTCTAAAGATTTTTAATAGAATAGTAATAGAAACAAAAAGTTGCAATTTCTGAAGGGTTATGCTGAAAAAGATACATTGTGCTTATGATTTGTAAATCATTTTACCCAGAATCGCGCATACTATATTTTCTAACTCATGTAAACGAAAGTACAAAGATTTAATTATAAATAAAAATAAATTCAATTTTTTTCTTTTGTTACTTTATTATTACAGGCTAATGCAAAATATAAAGATCAAATATAAACTTGAAATTTAAATCAATTTTTAGCGAGAACAACCCTCCCAAATAAAAAACGAATATAACCTCAAACTGTAGATCAAATTTTGTGTTATTTTTTACCTAATGGTCAAAGCTTTTCCAGAAATTTTACACGTGACTTCGAAGCAGGTCAAATTTTGGCGAAAAGTCTACCCCTCTTAACAATAAAATTGCTAAATCAGATTAGGGTCAAACCATTATATTTCAACTAAAGTGGTCGCTGACTAATTTTTAAAAATTATAATACTTTGCAGGAATGATTTTGAAGTTATCAAGATCACGAAATGAAAAGAATTTTATTAAAAATTTAAATATTTATTGTAAAATATGAATTTAAAGTATATGAGGTGCTAAAAACTGTCAATTTTTTAGCCATTAGAAAATATGCAAAAAAACATAGAATTTACCATAAAAATAAAAAAAAATTATTGGAATTTACTAAGAATGAATAAATTTATCATTATCAATTGATATAATTATTTAAAGATGTGAAGTAATATATAAAATATGATTTCCAAGTGCACCTGTCAAATAACCTAATTTTGCGATTTTTATTCATTAATTATAAAAAATAGAAAACATTAAATTAAATAAAAACTTACCAAATATGAAGTTCTTGCCATAAACTTTTAGAATTTCTTTGCACTTTTCTTCTTTTCTATTCATAAGTATGAAAAATTTAAAAAATAAAATAGCTACTTTGTCTATTTTCACTATTTTTGAAAGTCAATAACTTTCTTGGAGAAAAATGAAAAAATATGGGGTCTCGAAAATTATTTAAATACACACTACATATACATTCACTGAAAATTTCGCATTGGTCCCGAAGCTATTTTCGAAGATAAAGTAAATTAAAAATTTCGTATTTTTTAGGCTATATTGACATGGGTTTTAAAGGTATTAAATCAATGTGAAGTTTGTCGTCACCAGTGAACCACCTTCACATTGATTTAAAATCCATGTCCATATAGCCTAAAAAATACGAAATTTTTAATTTACTTTATCTTCGAAAATAGCTTCGGGACCAATGCGAAATTTTCAGTGAATGTATATGTAGTGTGTATTTAAATAATTTTCGAGACCCCATATTTTTTCATTTTTCTCCAAGAAAGTTATTGACTTTCAAAAATAGACAAAGTAGCTATTTTATTTTTTAAATTTTTCATACTTATGAATAGAAAAGAAGAAAAGTGCAAAGAAATTCTAAAAGTTTATGGCAAGAACTTCATATTTGGTAAGTTTTTATTTAATTTAATGTTTTCTATTTTTTATAATTAATGAATAAAAATCGCAAAATTAGGTTATTTGACAGGTGCACTTGGAAATCATATTTTATATATTTTTTTTTTTTTTTTTATTTAGATTTCCTGCGTACACCTTTTTATAGTTTTTACGCTCTGTATACCCCATCTTTAACCCCACCTTATTGAAAATCCCAAATTCCTCAAGTCCCCAAATTGCGGTCCGTAGCCGACTTTTATTAGAAGTATTCGCATTTGCCTGACCCTTTCTTGATCAGAGAAGAGGGAAACTACGGAAAACCTCTACTGAATACAGCCGGTTTATTGACTGTCGAGTCATGAATGTACATTTAAATAGTCATCCAAATGCACAAACATATCCTCGACGTCAAACCTCCCGCTTAGTATATCTCGATTGCAGCGAAAACACCAGGGCTATAGCGGGTACCGAGGCGGTCACCCATCCAAGTACTAACCGTGCTTGGATGTGCTTAACCTCGGCGACCGCAAGCCAAGACGCTTCACCGCCCGAGCTATACTATCGGTAAATCATATTTTATATATTACTTCACATCTTTAAATAATTATATCAATTGATAATGATAAATTTATTCATTCTTAGTAAATTCCAATAATTTTTTTTTATTTTTATGGTAAATTCTATGTTTTTTTGCATATTTTCTAATGGCTAAAAAATTGACAGTTTTTACACGGAAAAAAATTTTCTGGTAATTCTTTAACGTCGATTTAGAGATTTTACATGTTCCTAAATCTGTTAATTCTACAGATATTTTCTGCAAGGATTTAACGCATGCGCGAAAACAATGCAGTGATTCGACTAAGGCTGAGTACGATTGAGTGCGAGAGGTTAAGGCGAATTTAGTGTTTTTATTATTATCATAGTGTCGGCAAGAAAGTTCAATTAAAAAGGAAACGTCTTAAGTATATAAACATTATTATTATAGAAATAAATTATTACAAATTTTTTATTTTAAAATTAACTCTAGTGATTAAGTGAGAAAAGTCGTTTATTTCAATTTCTCAACATAAGAAAAAGTGGATTTATCATAAGTTTTGAAAACTTGCTCCTCATTTTTTTTGTTAGAAAATTATTGAAGGATGAATTTATTTACATAGAAGTTATACTAATTTATACAATAATGTTCCGCGAATTTAATGTATTCGGAGGAGAATATAACCTATAAGAAATACTCTACCAAATATATATTATCCCCATATAGTATACATAATTTGGTCACTCAACAATTTTTAAGAACTGTAGCTCAAACTTGTAGAATTAACAGATTTTAATGCCAATGATTCAACATATTTCTCTATTTGGAGAAACATCAGTAGATGGCGCAAGAGTTTCTGTAAATTCTACAGAAAATTTTTTTCTGTGTAGCACCTCATATACTTTAAATTCATATTTTACAATAAATATTTAAATTTTTAATAAAATTCTTTTCATTTCGTGATCTTGATAACTTCAAAATCATTCCTGCAAAGTATTATAATTTTTAAAAATTAGTCAGCGACCACTTTAGTTGAAATATAATGGTTTGACCCATTAACCAATTTTTTTATCGAGACAAAAAAATATATGGTTCATCAAACGAATAAATTACCACCTATTTTATTTACAACTTTTTTAACTGTATTCTAAGTTTTTTAATCAATGTTCATAATTTTTTTTAACACATAGGGAACATATTATTAAATAAAACGAAAATAAAAGTAATAATATTTACGCAAAAATATAAACAATTATAAATAAATAATTGTCCAATATTTAAATATTTTGGGGAAAAAATCATTACCGAACATTTAGGTACAAAATCAAACGATATTTCATTCGCGGAGGTTTTCGGGGTCGCTGATTACGAATCTGAAATCCGTTTTTCAAAATTTAAAATGGCGGATCCAATATGGCGGACGAATTTTAAGACATTTCTTGAATTCGCTTGAAACTTGTTACTCGGGGGTTTTCGGGATCGCTGATTACGAACTTGAAGTCAGATTTTCAAAATTCAATCGAGTAACAAGTTGCTAGTCAATACGATCAAGTTTTATTTTTAAATCCGCCATATTGGATCCGCTAATTTGAATTTTGAAAATCTGACTTTAGATTCGTAATCAGCGATCCCAAAAACCTCTGAGTAACAAGTTTCAAACGAATTGAATTAGATTTTCAAAAATATGTACGCCATATTGGATCCGCCATTCTGAATTTTAAAAAACGGATTTCAGATTCGTAATCAGCGACCTCGAAAAACCCTATTGAACGTTTGTCGTTTTAATCAATCTTGTTTAAAAATATGGTTCCATACATTTGGACAATTATCAGTAATGCCTGGCTTTATCCTTTATCATAAATGTCCTAACTTAAGAAATTTTTAATATTCAAAAAAATCGAATTTTATTTGTGTTGGAAAAGTAATAAAAATTACAGAAAAGGATATTAAGTATTTATTTCAATTAAACAGTTTCTTTACTTATTCTACCTTTAAATAAATTAAGAACTCGATATTGACGAGCTTGCTGGATTTGGACTTGAGAGTAGTTTAAGTATGTACGTTTATTCAAATCATCAAACTCATACTATAAATTGTTGCGCCTCGAAATGCACGTATAATGTCCCATTCCTAAGTCTCGTATGTCACAACCAGGAAAAAGAAGACTGTGAAAAAATTTAACAGCTCCCAGAAAACAGTATTTATCGCCAGTACCCAATATGTCAGAAAAATGTAAAGGGATGTTGTCCAAATTTGTTGGTATCCTGATGTCATTCGGTTGAAAAAGAATTATAGGTCCTGTAAAAATATTAATTATGAGCATCTGCTAAATAAAGTGTTGGAAAATAAAGAATCAAAAAAATGAATGAAGAAGTAATAAAGAAGTCAGAAGAGAAAGGATAGAAGACTCGATAAAGAAGAGAGAAGAATAAAGACTCTAGAAAGAAGCTAGAAGAATAAAGATTTAGGAAGAAGAGAGATGACCGAGGATTCCAGAAAGAAGAGAGATGAAAGAAAGATTCAGAAAGAAAAAAAAGTTCTTTTTAAAGATTTAATCAGTAGAAAATGAATGTAACTTTAATCATTTTTAATTCATTTTTAATGAAATTCTCCTGATTGAAACCACATGAAAAGCGTCACTGAAAAATAAAATGTTTTTACTATTTCAGTGAAATCTAAATAGAAAAGTCAA